ATAAACAATATTTGGCGATATAATTCCGGAAAAAGCCGAACCGCTCCGAAATTTTCAAAAGTTTTGGGTCGCGACCGTTGCAAGAATAGCGCCAAATATTGTTTACATTGTCCTTATGGGCACTTTCCAATCTAAACTTGTTTCATTTATCTATGCATTAGTGTATGGACATTATTATTTAAACAGTTTACTAAAATTTACCCACAATAAGTAAGTATTCTTTATTTTATGAAGAAAAATAAAGCCATATCTGCTTGTGGAACGAATGGAGATGTTACTAGTGATTTTTTTTTTGTGAGGAAAATTATTTCTTGGCCTCAAGAGCTAATGCTCAAAGATATGAAAATAGGAATCTTCCTGATAAGCGTTCCTTTGAAAAACTACTTGTCCTATTTCCTATTTCGCAGAGTTGGTAGTGTAGTTTATAAAAAACCTATTAGGCAGAAACCTGTCGTTGGAAGTGAAGAAATTGAATTTGCCGTAAATGGCTCTTTTATAAAAAATTCATATATGTACAAGTTATCGTAAAATAAAACAAAGAACTACTTCTTTTTTTTTCTTGATAGAATAATAAATACATATTAATAAATATTATTTATTAAACTATTGGAGGTCAATTAAATAAAAGTAAATTGGTATAGATTTAAATAAAGTCTATAAACTAATGTCGATTTTTAAAATAGTTACTAACTGTCACTAGAAAATTGTTATGGCGATACCAGCCATCTTGATTGCCATTTTATTTTAGATGCTACAGGGTGTTCAAATATATTTATGAATTTCAACTACTTAAAATTAAAAAATCTCATATTTCTTAAACGATACACCCTATATGTGATTATTTTTTCTGGTAGATTTTACCCCTCCCCCATTTCTAAGTAACTATGAACAATAATAAGACAATAAGAAAGAAATTATTACTCATTGAAAAAATATTTTTCATAATTTTTTAATATATGAACTACATTTTGTTAATTCTACTTTACTAATCGCTTGTACCACATTATCTTGACTATAAACTAATAAAACATAAGACATCAATCAAGCCTATTTATGCCATATCACTATACTATAATCCGTAAGTTGTTAATCTTGTCGATGCTATCAAGATTGACGGTGAGTTAGAATATATTGAATAGTTCTACACCAATTTCAATAACAAAAAATATGTTAATCTATAACGGATAAAGGAGACTGAACGATGTCAAGAACTTACCCTTCAATTCAAAACCACTGATCCTTGCTTTATGTAAATTCAAGTTGATAGAGGGATCGACACTAAAACGGGGTATGATTATAATAAATTATTCAAATTGATAGATTGCCAAAATTGACAGACAATGACCTACGGCTTAAATAAACGAGGGCTTCATTATCAAAGATTTTTGCTAAATTATGGTTGTATGTATTTTTTTTACTCTATGTTATTATTTTTATTTTTAACATAATCAAGTAACTAATATTTCGTTGTCTTTACGAAGAGATCTAACTAACACAAATGGGGCAAGATTATTAACTAGGTAAAGATGGTATTACACTATAATTTTTTTTTTGTCAAAGATCGTTTATAAAAGACATTTGAGGAAAAATTTGCCTGTGTAAGGCTCTTTTGTTTTCTTTGTCAAATATTTTATTTTTTCAAAGAATTTTACAGTGTAATATGTGTGATTTTATAAAATATTATATATTAACATCACAACCTAACCGGAAACTTCGGCCGCATATTCTGCAGATAACAATAAGCAAAAAACTTCGTATAAAAGTATGTCCTTAAACGCTTAGTTTCGGAGATACAGGGTGTAGAAGTTTCATTTTTATTTCGTTTTTTTTCCAAATAATTTCTGAAGTAACGTCAATATTTGGATGAAAATTGGTGTTCGGGAGTTTTTTGACTTTTAAAATTTGATTTTGATGTCAATACAACTCCTATTTGAAGGGGGCGCCACCTGCATGTGTTTTAACTGTTTTGAAGAGTAATAATTTGTCGTCCGTACCCTTATAAAACTACTGAGCGAAAAAATATACATTTCCGTGATTTTTTACATAAAAAATGTTTCTTGGTAAAAATCGCTACAAGCAACCGTTTTTTATTCATATTTAGAATGAAAATAGCCAATACATGTCATTATTGACAAAAAATAGACATGTTGAGTAGATATTTATTTGACTGAAATGGATAAATTTGGGTACCTTTTATTTTTTTAAATTATTCATAAATTTTTCTTAGAAAAAATGATATTAAAAAAGCTTCTGTTGAACCTTTGGCACAAAAAGTTATAATTTCAGTCTAATAATTATTTAGTCAACAGGTAATTTATATCAATGATCACAGGTATTGATGATAATTTAGATTCCAAATATCTCAAGAACCATTACTCGTAGCGATTTTTACCAAGATACCTTTTTAAACGTAAAAAAATCGTTAATGTACATTCTTTTACTTAGTAGTTCTATACAGGTACGGACGAAAAGTTATTACTCTTCAAACCAGTTAAAAAATATGTAGCTGGCGCCCCCTACAAGTAGCAGTCATATCATAGATAAATGCAACAAGTTTAGATTGGAAAGCCCGTAAAAATTTTAGGTCGCGAAATTATTTTGGGTCGCGACCGTTATACGCGATCTGGCGCTGCTATAGCGGTCGCTAAGAACAACGGCAAACAAAAACAGAAATAATTTTCTCTCGTCAAAGTCAGAATCTTCAAAAATCATAATTTTATTTTTTTTTATAATCTTTCAAAATCTAAACCGCTCTCATTAAAGAAATTCCGAAAAGTGTTTATAGCGTCCATTTTCAAAGTAATTATTGCTATCTTGTGAGTTTAATTCAAGTTTTATTTACTCCAACCGGTGATAATTGTGAAAAAGTGGCATTAAAAACTTAAAAAGCTGTGCTGTGAACTGTGAACTGCAAAAACCATCGTGGATCGTAACATAACGTCGGTTTCCAATGTTTCATAGGTATTTCATACATGCGTCCTTATATAAAATAAAGTTTCTTGTATGCAACACACTGTATCTTATTTATAAAATTAAACGAAAATAATAAATTTGAATAAACAATATTTGCCGATATAATTCCGGAAAAAGCCGAACCGCTCCGAAATTTTCAAAAGTTTTGGGTCGCGACCGTTGCAAGAATAGCGCCAAATAGTGTTTACATTGTCCTTATGGGCACTTTCCAATCTAAACTTGTTTCATTTATCTATGAGTCATATTGACAACAAAATCAAATTTCTCATGTCGAAAAACTTTTAGGTACCAATTTTCTTCCAAATATTGGAGTTACTTCTTAAATTATTTGAAAAAAATCGAAATAAAAATGAAACTTCTACACCCTGTATCGCTGAAACGAAGCATTTTAAGACATACATTATTCTTATCTGCAGAATATGCTGCCGACGTTTCCGGAATACAGTTCGGACCACCCTGTATTTACTAATCCTGTATCTAGCTCAATGAGCCAACCTCTGAGAAATTAGTAGACAAAGTTGCCTCCTATTTAATCAAGAAATTACAAATTCGCAAACAAACACTAAAATTCCCATTCCCCTGTTTAACCATTGTCGGACCCGGATCAAACAGAATAAGCTCAAACATCAAAGAAAACCAAAGTCAGAATGTTAACAGCAAAGGTCTAAGCGCTTGTTTGAAGACAAACAAGATTAGTAGTTTATATAAGGAACAAGTAACTAAAATATACACACAAATTATAACAAATATTTTTCCTATTTACATTTTTGTTACTGGTAATTATAAAATTCCAAATTGGTAAAAATAAAAAAGTCAGAAACATCTTCAGAAGGTCTAACTTGTATTATAAATTATTATTCCAGCTAAAATAATGTTAACTAATAAAAAAAAAGTTAAATGGGTTCAACTACGGTAGCTAGCATAGTTTTACGCACAGATTTTGATAGCGGAGACATAATTGGGGCTATTTCGGTTAAAATATATTTTTTAAAGGTACATAATTATAATTTTAGATGTTCGTAAAAAAATTAAGCACTATATAGTTGGACTTGTTTACTCACTTGTTTCGTCGAACTGCTGGAATCCATTGTTGCTTTTGATCAGATTGGTATAAGAAGCTGTGAAACTATAAAATATTGATTCAAGAGAGTCGAATATCTCGGAAAGTTGAGTTATTCAATGTTATCGCGCCCAACAACCACGTAATTTCGCCCTGCTTTACGCGTTAACAATTTTTTCGGAGATTTTATTAACATTTGAAATTGTCACTTTGTCACACGGTTGTTTTTTTTTTTTGACGCCGGTTCCGGTTCTTTTTCACTTAATTTTAACTACCTGAGTGTTTTATAGTTTTTAATAGCTGTACTAGAAAAAAAACTAAAATATTTAATTATTAAGACAAAGCCACGATTTTAAATATAACATGGGGAATGTCATCGATGTTCATTTCTAAGCCAACTGGACGCCGTTTGTTTTTCGATCATTTTTTATACATCTTTAAAAATATCGATTATGCAGTGTACAGATTTTCTTAATTATAATTAACATTAATTATTATTTATTTATTTAGCGTATGGCACATTAGACACAAAGTACGTTAATGACAAAAAGAAAGAAAAAAAAATTACAAACGAGCATTTAACAAATTAATATAATCTATCGATTCTAGAGTTGCGAGAATAAAAAAAATCTTTAAATAATTAATTTTTTAATTCTTTTTTAATTTTTTTTTCACGTAACATGAAAATAAACTTTGATTTTTCTTTGAAACACGCACCTTCACGTCAAATATTTATGTCTTTTGAATAATTTCCTGTTCAACATTTTCGGCGCATATTTTAAATTTTAGCTTTTTGCTACACCAGCGCCATCTTAAGCCTTCCCTTTTTTTGGCCATTTTTTAATGCACGGAGTACACACATGGAGATATGTCTCTCAACACTCCATAATATCGATATTTCAAAAATCGATGTTGTACATTTCTATACTGAAAAGAAGTAGATTTGCAAAACCTAACCTGTATCCCTGTATGTCATAAAATTCTGAAATTTATGTAAACAGTAATGTTTGTAAATATTTTTTTAAATTTATATTTACGCCTAGTCTTGGAATAATAAAAAGAATATTATTAAATGGCAACTAATTTTACCGACAGCCAGTAAGTTAGCGAAACAAATTCTGATAAAAGGACATAAAGGTTTTTATTGCAGGTTGCTAGGATTAAGTAAAGATTTTGATACTGAAGGTTTTGATCTACAAGCTGGAAAAACATGGATTTATCCAACGAATTATCCTACTCGCGATTATCAGTACAATATTATCGAAAAGGCGTTACTTAAAAATACATTGGTAAAATTTTAACGAAACCATTTTATAAAATCTACAAAGATTATGCCTTTTAGGTGAGTCTTCCTACAGGTTTAGGCAAAACATTTATAGCGGCAGTTGTTATGTACAATTTCTACAGATGGTATCCCCAAGGAAAAATAATATTTATGGCTCCTACAAAACCACTTGTTAAGCAACAAGTTGATGCGTGTTATAACATAATGGCAATTCCACCAGATTCAACTGCTGAATTAACAGGTGAGATAAAGAAATATAACATTTTTAATATAAATTTACCTGCTAATTTTAGGTGCCAAAGCATCAGCATCTCGAACAGACATTTGGAAACAAAAAAGGGTGTTTTTTATTACACCACAAATTTTACAAAACGACTTGAACAGTATAACAGAGCTTGGGGAAGGTATAAAGTGCCTTGTATTTGATGAAGCCCACAAAGCTAGAGGAAACCATGCTTACTGTGAAGTTATTAGAAGATTAGTAGCACAAAATCACAAGTACTTTCGAGTGTTGGCTTTAAGTGCTACTCCAGGAAATAATGTTAATGATGTCTTAGAAGTAAGAATTAATTTATGATACAATTTTTGTTCTTTTCATAAAGTTTGTTGAAAAGTAGTTAACAGATAAGAGATAAGAACTAGAATTGAGGTTGTTTTGAGATAATATGCAAAAACTGCTTTAGCAAATGTTTGAAGCGTTATTTAAAAAAACCGTTGAGTGGAATCATCGTATTGTATCTCCTTTTTCTAGATATAAAATTAATATTTAATTTTTAAAGAGAAATAACACAAAAATAATTCAGATAAGATGGGTTTTGTTGCAGTGTGATGCATATTGCAGTGTTTACTACAGCAAGATATTTACATCCTAACTTGATTTATTAGATAATTTTATTAAAATTAGGTAACAATTTGAAATGGATAAAACGCCAGTAGTAATATTATACTTGTGTAAAAAGCCTATGAAAAAATGGGGGATCTGCAACAATAATGACTATAAAAAGCAAATATATGTGGATAAGACGGATTTTGCTGCAGTAACGTAATTTATAGTGAATTTTAGATAGGAATGGGCGTCTTTTGCTGCAATTTGGGACTATGTTTATGTAGATTCATAGATAAATGAAACAAATTTAGATTGGAAAGTGCCCACAAGGACAATGTAAACACAATTTGGCGCTATTCTGGCAACGGTCGCGACCCAAAGCTTTTGATAATTTCGGATCGGTTCGGCTTTTTCTGGAATTATGTCGCCAAATATTGTTTATTCAAATTTATTATTATTTTCTTTTAATTTTATAAATAAAATACAGTGTGTTGCATACGAGAAACTTTATTTTATATAAGGACATGTATGTGTGACCTATGAAACATTGGAAACCGACGTTATGCCACGATTCACGATGGTTTTTGCAGTTCACAGTGCACAACACAGTTTTTAGTTTTTAATGCCACTTTTTCACAATTATCACGGGTTTGAGTAAATAGGGTTTAAATTTTGAAAGACCTTATAATTTTTGAAGATTCTGACTTTGACAAGAGAAAATTATTTCTGTTATTGTTTGGCGGTTGTTCTTAGCAAGTGCTATAGCAGCACCAGATCGCGTACAACGGTCGCGACCCAAAACAATTATTATATATTTTGACGGGCTTTCCAATCTAATCTCTTTTCCTTTCCCCTTCTAATTTCCTTTATCTGTGTGTAGATTTCAGGGTCCATTATCAATATATGACATTAGGCCATGTTTTTTTTAAAGCCAACTTGACACCTCAACTTTATCTTTTTTTAATCAACTATTTTTGTAGGTTATTCAAAACTTAATGATCTCACACTTGGAATTCAGGACAGAGGAAAGTATAGACGTTCATCCATATGTGTATCAACGGTCTTTAGAAACAATTGTAGTACCTCTGGGTAATAAACTGCAAGAAGTGAAAGATGAATACCTAAATGTAACTTTTGGCTATTTACTTTTACAATCAACTTTATTGAACTAAATTTATTTTAGATTTTAGAATATTATGTCAAGACCCTTAGAAAGTTTAATGTAATTCAAGGAAACTGTGGCTCACTAACTAAAGGAAAAATATTTATGCTGATGAAAGATTTCCAGAATAAGTGTAGAGGAACCAAGTAATTTTTCGTCGTATTTTTGAAGTGAAACTTCTTTACGCGCGCTGTAAAAAAAGTAAAAACCTATTTTTTACGCGTAAAAAACATTTTTTCAATTTATTCCTCTGTCAACATTTCAAACTACTCTTTTTCAAACATGTCCTTCAAATCCGTCAATTTAATAGTTGTTAGTAAGAGGTTTCACTTCAAATATGCGCACATAGTGCACACACACAATTTTTTTTAATAAAATGTACATTAAAATATATACCTATTTGTAGGTCTTCTAATTATTCTGAGATTATGAGATGTCTAAACATCTGTGTGACACTGTACCATGCCTATGAGCTACTGATTAAGCATGGACTTAGAAATTTTCTCTCGTTTTTTGATGGTTAGTATGCTATTATGTATTGTCTTTATATTAAATGTGACCCTATATCTAAAAAAATGACCATATGAGGATTCCTGTGTGAAATTATTATTCGCCATTTTTTTACAAAAACCACTCTGTATAAATTGTGAGATGGGATTTTTTTTGTAAATCGATTTTTTTTTTATTATGATTTATTAGCAATCAGAATATTTGCAAGGAAATTCTATTGGCTAATTTGATGACTTGAGAGCAATGACGCTCCAGTTACCGTGATGAGGTCTTCTCTCTGGTGAAATTATTATTCACCATTTTTTTACAAAAACCACTCTGTATAAATTGTGAGATGGGATTTTTTTGTAAATCGATTTTTTTTTTATTATGATTTATTAGCAATCAGAATATTTGCAAGGAAATTCTATGCGCTAATTTGATGACTTGAGAGCAATGACGCTCCAGTTAACGTGATGAGGTCTTCTCCAGTGAAAAATCCTCCTTAATATTCTTTCAAATCAGATGGTCATTGTCTTTTAAGTCTTCTTGTAGGTACTGGTTCAAGTAGAGGCTGAAGTAAGGTATTGGTGTGATCGTGTAGTCTAATGAAATGTTTTTATTATGCTTTTATTATTTTTATTACGTTTTTATTATTGCTTATGAGCACCAGTCAAGGTAAAAGATGACTGTCAAATGAAGTTGTCGTTTCAGAAATTTACCTATTTAGGGTGTATTCCGTTGCTTACCTTGGTTATGGTTTTATGTTCCATTTCTATCGGTTTCCTGAAAGTTTTCTTATTACGGAACACGGTTCCTGAAAAATTCGGTTAGAACTGAATAACTGTCACCAAACTAACCAGTGCGAGAAGGCTGATTTTTCTGGTTTTGTTTGCCAATCAATGTCATTTATGTGACAGAAATCAAGCAAATATTGGAAGTTCGAGTGAAATTCTCATTTCATTTCTAAAATTTGTTATAATATTTTGTATTTACATCCAAAAGCAATGGAGGTAGGCAGTAAAGGTAAATAAATTTTATTAACTAAATAGAATGACTTTTTAGGACCATTTAAACTTATCATGCAGCCATTGTTTCTTGTCAGGAACATTTAAAGAAAACATGAAAAACAAGACAACAAGTAATCGTGAATGTTTTGTAAGCTATAAAAATATAAATATTGATTAGATTTGTTTATTTATTATTGATCTGTTTTAATATTGGTCCTGCAAATCTTCACTTGAGCTGTCTAAAGAGTTTAACAGTTTATTAATAAAGTACTTTTCAATATTAAACTCCATTGAAAAGAATAAGCAAACGTAAAAGCAGAGAATAGGTACATTAAAAATGCATAAAAGATACATTTTATAATAGAGGTCAGTAGAGGTATTGAAATTTAGAAAACGTCAACATTTGACGTTTCCAGTATTTTACCAAACCGTTCCGTATCAAACCGATGTTTTTCAGGAACCGCTCTTTACCGTAGTTTACCGGTCTAGTTCGCCTGGTTTTGCAACGGAATACAGCCTTAGTGCTTTATTATTATTGAAAACTCATTCCTACATCGGAAATCTTAAAGATGTATTTATAAATACAAATTAATATGAATTAAAGTAAAATAAAGTAATCAATTACAAGGTTAATTATAGTATTGTTACAACATTCAAAAACTTATTAATTTAGGTACTATTAAATTGTTAGAACTTTAGGATTTAAGAAGATGTTCAAATATTCCTCCATCGACTGCTAGACAATAACCCAGGCGATCATAAAATTCTCTTCTTACATTCGCTAGTTGGTAAACTGAAATTCTATTGCATTCGGCAGAAATAGCATTTTTTAACTCGTCTAGATTTGGGTATTTTTTATCCTTGTATATCCTGTTTTTTAAATGGCCCCAGAGAAAGAAATCATTTGGCGAAATATCAGGAAACCTTGCTGGCCAATTTACTGTATGATTTAAGCCAATAACGTTTTCGTTAAAACTATTGTCTAAATATTCCCGAACAGCCAGGGTACTATGTGCCGGGCAGCCATCCATTTGGTACCAAACTTCCTGATTTTCCCTAGCGGCATCATGTAAAGCAGGTAAAATATGATTTTCGAGTAGTTCCAAATAATATTCAGCATTTAAATTTCGCGTAAGAAATAATGGCCCGATAATATTGTGTCCGAATATCCCTGCCCAAACATTTACTTTCTGTGGATATTGCGTCCTTGTTTCGACAAACCTGTGTTGGTTTTCTTTCTTCCAATATCGATAATTTTGAACATTGGGTTCATTATTTAAGGTAAACGTGCATTCGTCAGTGAAACATATGTTTTTAAAAAATTCCCTATCCGTGTTTGCTCTTTTCATCATATCAAAACAAAACGCCTGCTGCCGTATTTCGTCCCCATCTCGTAGCTCTTGGTGCTTTTCATATTTGAAGGAATAGTATTTATGTCGTTTCAAAATTCGAAACGCTGTAGTGTGATCTATTCCTATTTCATCCTCAAGTTTCCTTGTGCTGATCTTTCCATCGTTCTCTTCCACGCGCAATAAAACTTCCAAGTCGGTATCATTTCTTGCATCCTCTCTTTGTTCCTGCCTTGCTTCACATCTGCAGTTATTTATTAGGGTACCTTTGGTCTCAAATCTCTGGATATTCCTTGCGATTGTAGATTTTCCAGGTATCGGTCTATTCGGATACAGAGCAGCAAACATGTCCGACACCTTTTGATAATTATTTCCTTGATAATACCATTTAATCATCAATACTTTTTCTTCGGTAGTGTAATTCATGGCTAATATTTTCAATGTAGGTATGAGTTTTTAATAATAATAATAAAGCACTAAATAGATAAATTTCTGAAATGACAACTTCATTTGACAGTTATCTTTTACCTTGACTTGTGCTCATAAGTAAATACAGGGCCATAACAAAGGAGAAATATTTAAAAAGAAATCGGCGAGATAACTCGTAAACGGGCTAATCAAAAATATCTAAAGTTATTCTTTTGAATGTGGGTTTTAGTGCTCTTCAATAAACCTAAATAGAATTATTCTCTAAAATAATTATGGAAACCAATAATTGACCGCATTAAAATTTACATGGGATTTCCTATGTCCCGCTCGACGATGCAACACCCGGTATAGATTTAGTGTAAAAACTTATTTGGGAATCACTCTGTATATCTATGAGAATTTTTGTAAAATTTTCATAGCTACTACGATCTGGCATTTTATTTTTGGAATATTGGGTCACCCTATATAATAAATGCATGCAAATATACAAGAACATATAATTTTAGAACATATTGAGAAACCTTTACTTAAAGGCAATACTCAAATAAGAAGTATATTAAATAATGTTAGAGATTACTTGGGTCCCATTCCTAATGTTGAAGTTTTGCCCGATGGTACATATCCAGAAGTAAGTATCTGCCATGTATACAGGGTTGTTCACCACATACGACACGGAGTATTGTAGCTAAACGATGAGATTTTTACAAATTGTAAGTTTTGGGTTCGTTAGGGGACTATTAAAGGTACAATTTAAAAATAATTTTACAAAATACAGAGTGTCCCAAATAAGTAAAAAATATCAAGGTTGTGTTTTTTTAAATGGAACACCCTGTATACTATTACATTTTTAGTTTCTACGATTAAAATAAAGGTAAATTTGATTAAGGTTTATTACACTTAAACCTTACCGTTTTTGAAATATTTTCAATTTTGTGAAATTGCAGTAAAAATTTTAAGGCTTTATTTCTCCAAGGGTATCAAAGTTTTTAATACTAAATATTTACTGAAGTTTTTTTATTGATCAGTTATTGTGTTGCAATAATAAAAATACTAGTAGTGGGAACTATCGAATGAATACTATCGAAACATTCGATAGTTGCAATTCATTCGAATAATTCGATAGCTAGTAAGAAAACATTCGTCGAAAACTATTCGAATAAAAATTATCGAATAGATGCGTCATCTGCCTTGAAATATTGTATTCTAGTAATTCGACAGCAAAAACAATTCATTTATAAAATTCATTCATTTATCAGATTCATTTATTCGTCAGAATCGATTTTAATGAAATATAAACTGGATTTTAGTTGTCGTCCGGCGACGTAGGTTTCTTTCCTAGAAACCCGACAGCAGTCGGTGGCAATGCTATGAAAGAAGCCGGCATCTTTTTGATTTTTTGCGGAGTCTAATAAAGATAAGGACACATTATTTTTTTTATTGAGGTGCTAGTATTTACACAGAAAATACATTATGAAGGGCGCTGTTGCCATATATTCGTATTAGTTGGTATTAGCAAAGAATATTTTTCTTTAGCATTAGTTAGTTAGGGATAGTATGTCTATATGTTTTGCATTTTTTATTAATATTCTGTTGTTACACTGCAATAATACTTTTATTTTGGATATAGGAAAATGATTTTTAATGTTTTTAAGCAAAGACAGGTTTAATAAATAATAATAACACTAATAATTTGTTATACAAAATTTAAAATAATTTAATAATATAAACATTTTTTTTAAGTAGTATCAAAATATAAACAACAAATAGAAGTCAAAAGTATTTATATTAGATCCTATTTAAAAATGATATAGCTCTAAATGGCAATGTTGGTTTATTAAATAATAATAATTACAGAACTAATTTGTTATATTAACAACAAATTTTAAAATCATGAAATATAAACATTTATTAATTTTCTAAGCATGCAGTGTAATGGAAGGAAAATATAAATAAAAAATTAGAAATCAAAATTATTTATATTAATTTTTATTACTTAATATTACTATTTAAAAATAATATTTACTTTTACTGGCATTTACTTTAAAAAATAAATGAAATATTTCTTCGCAAAAAACTACATGTAAGAGAATTAGCATAAACAAAATACAAACATTGTTAACATTTTTTTTTAAATTGGCACGTGTAAAACTTTCAATTTAATTTTCTCACCCCAAAATTTGAGTTTGATAACCCCATTTACTTAACCACATTACTTAAATATGATGATTAAGTTCAACTAATTCATATTATTAAAACGTCTAAAATACAAATATGTATTTTTAAAATTAATTGGAAGTTCATCTCATCTCTCTTAAAAATTGCTACTTCTCAAAATTTCCCATTAAAAAATGTAATCTAATCTAACCATAATATACATACAAAATTAAATAATTGAAAGATCGGGCTACGGAAAATCAAACAAATTTTCGGAAAAATTTTGACCACTTCGCACACAATCGTCAATTAAAAAAAACTACTATTTTAGTATTTTAAATATTTTAATAAATGCAAAAATAGCATAGTATTTACAAGGCGAAGTTATAAAAATTTGGAAGAATTAATAATGCACTGACGCACACAAAAATCAAACGAATACTAAATTTCATTTATCAAAAGCACTCGATAGTCGTGGCTCGTGGCGCAACGATAACCATTTAGTCGCACGGCGAGGTTGTCACATATGCTTTAGTATACAAATGAATGAATGATTTTATTCGAATAAAACCATTCGATAGTTGAAATCATTCATTCAGTAACCATTCGATAGTCTAATTCATTCGATAGTTCCCATCGCTAAAAAATACTACTACCTTGTACAGAGTGTCTAAAAATTTATTTTAAATAATTATTAGCTTTAAACGGCAATAACTTGTTTAATTTAAATGTAACACCATGTATATTTTATGAGAATCAGATGCACAATTTAATTGTCTATCAAATTGTATTATACCATTTTTTACCTATCTCTTTAAGTTTCCATAGAAAATGCATTTTCTTGTAATTTAGAACTTATTTATCAATATACCCATGGAATATTGACATTTTAGATTATTTTTAAAGATGTACCAAATTTGTAAAGAGTACAGATACTAATATTGTCGATACAATTCGTTTATTTCATTAAAAAATAAAAAAAAAACTGTTTAAATATTTGTTAAAGAGGACCAATTAATATGATTGCAGTATTCAAACTACATTAACTGACTGTTTGCGTTGAATAATAATAATTGCCTCAAATACTAAAAAACTGAGTTTTGTATGTGTATTAGACAGTGTGGTAAAAAGTAACACCTTAAAAATGATATTTCATTTTTTAATAAACGCTTATTTATAACAACAGAGACGTTCGTTTTGATAACTTATTATTATATTGATTTTAATATTCCATGGGTATATATATATTGATAAATGAGGTCTAAATTATAAGAAAATGCATTTTCTACGAAAACATGAAGGAATAGGTAAAAAATGTTATAATACAATTTGATAGACAATTAAATTGTGCATCTGATTCTCCTAAAATATATAGGGCGTTCCATTTAAATTAAAGAAGTTATTGGCGTTTAAAGCTAGAAATTATTTAAAATAAATTTTTAGACATTCTGTATAAGGTAGTATTATTTTTATTCTTCCAACACAATAACTGATCAATAAATAAACTTCAGTAAATATTTAGTATTAAAAACTTTGATACCCTTGGAGAAATGAAGCCTTAAAATTTTTACTGCAATTTCACAAAATTGAAAATATTTCAAAAACGGTAAGGTTTAAGTGTAATAAACCTTAATCAAATTTACCTTTATTTTAATCGTAGAAACTAAAAATGTAATAATATACAGGGTAATATACCATTTAAAAAATACAACTTTGATATTTTTTACTTATTTGGGACACTTCTGTGTCTTGTAAAATTATTTTTAAATTGTACCTCTAATAGTCCTTCATCGAACCCAAAACTTACAATTCGTAAAAATATAATCGTTTAACTACAATACTCCGTGTCGTATGTGGTGAACAACCCTGTGTAATATAACGTATTTATTAAAATAAATACTGTATCAAATTACTATCTGTTATGTAGATTCCAACTGATATTGTGTTTGGACATCCAAAATATTATAAATTGCGAGATGTTCTTGTGTCACACTTCACTGGAGCAGGCAACACCAGAGTCATAGTTTTCTTTGAATATAGAGAGTCAGTTATGGAAGCTCATACACTTCTGCTTCAGTCAAGGCCCCTTATACAGCCTATGATTTTTCTTGGGCAGGGATCAGGAGTCACTCAGAAAATACAAATAGGGGTAAGTTTACTTTAGTAGTTAGTATGATATACTACTGAATAAGTGCTTTGTACCAGAAATATTAAAAATGAGTAGTTCAATAATTGAGGAGCAGACACTACATACACAGAGTTACAATATGATGCCAAAAATGACGTGTTAAATACATTTTATCCCATTCGAATTAAATGGCGAAAAACCTTAAACTTTCTATGTACTGTATGTCCACTGGCGCACGGTGGGGTATTAGCATGAAAAAGGTGATCGAAATTCGAAAAAGCAAATGTGTTTAAGATTTCCCAAAAAAAGATAAATGATAAGTTAAATCATGTCTGCCATGAATGGCGTTGCTATGGGTGTGTTTAGTTGCATTCGTTTGTTTCAACGAAACGTCAAAGTTGTTACTTCTCACAGATAAGAGGTAAATGGCTAAATTTTATGTTTAAAATTATAAATTGTTTTTGTTCTTGTGCTCTTTTTACGTTTATATTATTGTTTTGATTGAAAATGGCTCAGCAAGCTGCAGGTATCTATTCTACAAAAACGTATTATTTATTTTGATATTCTCTATACTAACGATTTTTTTGCAACTAAAAGTTAGACGTTCAGAAAATTTGATTAAATTTGTGACATTTTTATTATACTTAGAGCTTTAGTTGCGCATTTCGAAGAATTCAGCATATTGTCTATATACGTTTTACTTAGTAAACATTGGGCTTTCATACAGTAAAATAAAATACTGCGACTTTTTGCGACTTTGCTGATAAAATGAGAAAAACATTCTTGGTTTCCTCTAATTTGCCAATCAGTGATATACTAATGCGAGGTGTACACCGCGATGGCATTGTTGTGTACAAAGCGATCGCATTAGTGCCATTAGCTGTATAGCACAATTTGACATTAGTAGCGACTTTAGTGGTATGGGCATTGCTCGCGGATCAGTCTTAGCATTAGTAGAATTAGTTACGATATTACTACTGGCATTAGTGGCATTGACCGTGGAAACACTGGAACAGTGATTTTTCTTTCTTTGTTTAGAATCGACGAATTATCCTTTATTTTGTTCATATTATTTCCTCTTTAATTGAAAATAGCAATAATTTATATAAGGTCTACATAAAAAAATTTCGATCAACTATCTGTGTCAAATACCCCACTGTGTGGCGGTAGACAAACAAACAGAAGTATGTCCTTGTGTGCTGTGGACATAGTGCTGTTTGTTTGTCATTGCCAGATGAAGAGTTTTTTTTGTACTACAACTTCTCTATTTTTTGAAAAATACTACTTAAAATAATGAATGGAACTATGAATGGGGACCATGTAGTTGTGGATACAGACTGTGGTAGCAGAAAAATAAAGACAAATTTCACGTCTAAAGTAAAGTCAATAGTTTTCATCAAAACTAGATTTTGCACATGTAGGTGTACGATTTTTTATCCATTTTTAGGGTTCCGTACCCAAAGGGTAAAAACGGGAACCCTATTACTAAGACTTCGCTGTCCCTCCGTCGGTCACAAAGGTCTATCTTATGAACTGTTATAGCTAGACAGTTGAAATTTTGACAGATAATGTATCTATGTTGCCGCTATCAGAACAAATACTAAAAACAGAATTAAATAAATGTTTATAAATAAAAAAGTACTTTCACTAAACATTATCTTTTAAGTAAGAATTTTACACAGGAATCTTTCAAGTCCTCGGTGGCCGCGTGGTTAAAGCGTTAGGACTTTACGCTGCTATGACGTTGGAGCCGTAGTAAGGCAGGTTCGATTCCTAGTTAAGGCGACTTTTTTTTTTAATCGTTTTTTTTTTAATTTTTACATTATACATTTATTTTTGATTAATACAATTTTTAGTAATGTGTTTTTTCATTTTTTTTTAATTATATGTGCATTCAAAACTTCAGCTAAATCGGAAAAAAAAGTTTAAAATAATATAGTGTCTAATGTTGTATAGATAATGAATGGTACGGAACCCTTCGTACGCGAGTCCGACTCGCACTTGACCAATTTTTAAAGTACACTAGTTTTTCGGTAAGTTTCCAGCAAAAAATGTGGCAGTTTTTCTTTGTCTGCCAAAAGTCGAAAAAATGGACAAATACCTCTAGAAAGTCTGCCCCTCGATTGTACAAGAATTTAATTGTATTTTAGGTAGTAAAAGCATTTAGAGAAGGCAGGTGTAACACACTTTTATCAACTTGTATTGGAGAGGAAGGTTTAGATGTGGGCGAAGTAGATCTAATTGTTTGCTTCGACATATCGTCAAAATCGCCAATCAGAATGGTACAAAGAATGGGAAGAACCGGGAGAAAAAGAGAGGGTAAAGTTCTGGTACTGGTAACGGAGGGCAAAGAACAGCAAACCTTAAAAGATTGCCTTATACACAAAAACAATATTTCTACTTTCGTACTGGGTTCTAAACAGCTGTGCGCTGGCATGTATAATGAAAGCCCTAGATTGGTGCCAAATAATTTAACTCCTAAATGTGAGAAAATTTTTATAACAGTAAAGAAGTTAGAGAAGAAAAAATCTATCAAAGTGAGTAGTGGAAAAATCAATTCAAATCTATATTTGATGCCAATTAAACTTTTAGTTACGTAATCGAGGGCGCGATTTTTAAATTGGTTTAAAAAGGTGGTAGTCCTGCTGTATAAAATGTCAAGTTGCCACATTTATTTTTTTTTCCTTACATTGTTATTTGTTTTGACACTTTAGTTTTGTATTACGAGTTTTTGGTTTAAATGAATGAGGAAAATGCATGTTTTTAAATAATGGTTTTAAAAAATAGTTCATATAATTACAAATTGAACAAAAAAAAATCGTTGATATCGGTTAAGAAATGCCTCTAATATAAAATAATTAAATATTGTTAATTTAAATGGCCGGGCAAACGCTCTCTACCGCGCCTTGCCGCTGTGACGGCACCCGCCGTTCTTCTGGTTGAGTGGAGCCAGACGCGTGTTTATTTTACACAGTTTGCTTTTAAACGTTGTTGAATCCGAGTCAAAATTTTAGTTATTTGTGTTAATTAATACATAATTAGTATTTAGTGATATTTATAAATAGTAATGGATGAGCGAAAACAGAAAAAAATGGTCCAAGGCCATGAGAAGAGATTAAAAGAAAAACGTTAAATTATCCTCTATTTTTACGTTAAATTATCCTCTATTTCTTGTTGTGAAGATCATTTTGATGTAAGTTCATATATTTATGTATATTGTCTTACATAGGTATATGAAATTTGAATGTACAGGGTTATTCATTATATTTTGACACCCACATACAGCCTTAACCGCAAGTTTTAGAAGAAAACATTAAATAAAAAAGTTGCATGGTTTTTCATATATTCTCTTTTAAAATTAATTCTAGTTATACAGGCTGTCTCAAAAAAGGTGGTCCAGAAAATTGTAGGTATTTTTCGCTTTTCAACTGTCAATATTTCGTAAACATTTGAAGATAGGTATAGGATATTATACATGAAATATATCTAGAATATCTAGAAAGTTCCGAAGAATCCAAAAATATATAGGGTGTTTCACTTAAAAAAGTAACTTAATTTTGGCGTTTGCTTATGGGACACCTTGTATAATATTTTCATTACTGATAAACAATTTATTTCCTATAATTTCGTAAAAAAAACAATCTTTAAAAATAACAAGGGTAAGGGGGTGTCAATATATAAAAAAACTTTCTGTTTCACGCTATGCTCTGGAGTTATTTTTCCACGTACTAAACAAATATTTTTGTCTCTTTTCACTTCTACATAACCTACAGTATTATCTCCATACGTCTCCCTACCTGATCTGAAAAATTAGTTTATAACATTAATTTATAACTATATAAAAGTTCGTAACAGTAGGTACCTACTTATACTTAAATATGCCTCAGTATACTACAAAGAATAAATGTTACATACCTCTCTGTTTTTTTCCTCGTAATTCAGCACCAATAAATTGGGAATTTGTATTTATAAAAGCAGCCAACATAAAAGCATCGACTTTTGGCAAGTTATCTGATTGTGCTTTTACAAACCCGGAATCTGCCATTACTTAAAAAAATTCTCAGAACACACAACACGTACAAATAATAACTGCACAAAAAAGCATAAAAAGCTCCTTCAATCAACGCTAAAAGCAACAAAAATGTCTTAGTACGCCACCTAAATACATACATAAACGGAACACGTCTGGCTGCTGCTGGCCATCGCGCGTCGGCGAGAACGGCGGGTGACCAATAGAATATCGTTTCAATTCGCGAGGCGTCGCACAGTGCTTCGTCCCATGGACAAAAATCAAAAAATAAGTTAAAATTTACTAATATCTGAATATATAATTTTATACTTATAGCAATGTTCAACCATCCTGTATATTATTTTTCATAAACAGCGTTTTTGTTAGCAAATATTTTCACTAAAAATAAATTTTGAGATCATTATCTCATCAGTGAAAAGAATAACATTCATAGTAGTTCTGTATATTATGGAGTTAAACGGGTATGTACTTAATTGAAAGCAACTATGGATATTGTTAAACAAGGTATGTACTTTAAATTTATTTCTAAACAAGTTCGTGATTGTTTAGTTTTTATTTATTTTTTAAGATTATTCTTAAATGGGTATAAAAATTTTACGTTTTCAAACTTCAAAAAGGCATTTAAAAAAACATATCAAAACATATCGTATTTATTGCATATTTTTGTTGCCATATTCATACACTTTTAATTTTTGTATAGTTCACCTGCGTCTGCTTGCGACGAACTTTATTTTATAATACTTTTCAGATGGAGTAAAATTGATAAGCAATGCCGATCTGGCTAATACTTGGCTTGATCATAAGGACAAGAACTCAAATTATTTGTATTTCAAAAAATATGTTCTTATTAGATATTGATGAACCTTCCAGTCAAATGAGACACCACTTGTGCCTGAAAAAGTCCACTATGTTGGAGCGAAACGTCGCATAAAAAAAATGTCCATCTTTCAATTTATTATAAAATGTTATACCCAAGAAAAGGAAAAAATAATATATGGAGAAGGTATATTAAAGATGTAACTATTAACATCCGAACCCCTCATACCGACAAAATGAACAGTAACAACGCGAAAAAGTAACATATTAGAAAATGATGTACAGAAATATATTATATGTGAGGATACTTCATCTACCTGTGATTTGGATACTATAAATTTGGAAGATTCTGTCAGCAGTAATTCTCCTGAATCAGAGTAGTTACGATCTATGCATTTTGTTGTCCTAAAGTAAATTTATAGTATCTTAAGTTTTTTTTTAATTAAATATAACATTAATGTTTCTTTTTCATTAAAGAAAAACATTTTTATCTTATATAGGCTTATATTGTAGGAATCATGTTCTAATGTTATTTAAATTCTTTTTATCACAGGAATTTATTTAATACTTACACCGTTTTCATACTATAACTTATTATTTGCTTAGATGGAACACAGCTCCAACATTATTATTATTTATAAGATTTTTTTTTCATAAACGTGGGACTAAGAACATCATCATTTAGTACAATGAGAGTACTCATCATTTGTGTCAAATAAACCTAGTTTGAATAAATTGCTTACAATAAAAGAGAAGTTTTGGATTTTTGTCCTCTAGAGCCATATGTTCGAAGCACTGTGCGTCGTTTGCGTTATCCATAGTATTTTAATGGCCCGTTTTATAAAATTGTGGTACTGCTTTCAAGAAAAAAGTTTTTTTTTTGCATTTACACATATTTATTCTAATAAATTGAACAGTTTCTGGCGAAAAATAAAATATATGCATCTTCCTCATTGTATTGTGATATTTTAAGCTTAAAATTTTTTAGTAGCAGGCTTTTGCAGTTGAACATTGTTCTTTTTAGAACCTCTTTTAGTGCGAAGTGTACAAGATAGCTTAATAGCCGTAAAAAACTCATCGCAACTTTATTAGAATATTTTGAACGGGAAAGCGGTAGTAATGTCGTAAAAGAGGGCAAAGTTGTGTCGGTCAAGCTTAATCACGTGACTAAAAGTTTATTTGATATGAACTTATATGTAAAATTATATTGGTTACTTTAAATTTGCTTTTAAACTTAGGATATGCTACGGTCCATTTCTAGCAGTTCATCAGAATTAGTGTTTTCACAAAACCTGCAAATAACTGATATACCTAGTAAAATTCCTAAACGCAATATGTATTTTATGAAAGGTAAAATTACGTAATTTTTAATGTATCTTTTTTATTGTTGCTTTTTTCGTATTTATCCACAGATAATAATTCTACCGCCTACCAGTTTGACAATATGTTTTCCAAATATATTGATAAACAAAGAACTATACACAAGCCTTACATGATCGGATCTTCTAGAAATACCAAATTATTAACCAATTTACTTAGTTGGGCTGATTCAAAAAGATTCAACATCCCCACACAAATTCAATGTAAGTAGGTTATTAATTATTTTTTTACAAGTGTAATTTATTATTCCTCTATCTTTATTTTGTATTACAGTGTATTCCGAAAATACCTCCCAAAGAAACTTAAAGCAAGGAGATATAAGAAATATGTTTGTAAAGGTTTCCAGCCAAAATGATTTTCAAATGACTCAGAAGTATAATGATGGTAATATTATTCTTATCATCGCATAATTGATTTTTAACCGAATTTTTGTTATTTGAATTCAGATATTTCAACTCAATTTGTTGAAACTATGCAAGAAAACTACCAAGAAACTACCTCAGAATCGTGCAATGTTCCTAAAGAAGTTTTTGAAGTAATATCAAGCTATGTGCTGAGTGAAATGAACGATTGGGAATCAAAATGCAAACATTGTCCACCTGGATTACATGAAGAAAATTTGTGGATAACTGTAGATCAACCTTCCACTGTAAATAATAATATTTGGATACCATCAGAGGATATACTGGATACTATATCCCTCTCAGACTTAAAAGTATTCCACAATTCTTTATTAGGGCATAAAATGGATGAAAACGACGATGACATAATATTTTGTGATGATTTGGATTCGCAGATTTTTGAAAATATCGATATAGCTGAAATAGAAAAAGAAAAAAGCGATCAAGAACAGAATGGAAGTAAAGAAGATACAGATCGGTCAGTCAATTTTGAAGCTCCAAAATCGTTTATAGATTTATTAGACAAATTCGGTGAATCTATAATACAAGACCCTTCTCAAAATGATAAGTTATGCAAAAATTTAAACTTTAGCGCATCGAGAGATATATCTGAAAGAGAGAATGGAAATAAAGAAAATACTAAGCATTCAGTAAGTTTTGATGCATCAAAATCATTATTAGACAAATTTGGTGAACAGTCTCCTCAAAACGACACGTTATACAAAAACTATGATGCATCGATAGGTCTATCTGAAAACGAGAATGGAAATGAAGAAAATACAAACCAATCTGTTAATTTTGAAGCACCAAAATCATTCTTAAGTTTAGTAGACAAATTTGGGGAATCTATAATACATCACCAATCGCAAAACGAAATGTTATGCAAAAATAATAATAATTGCGCTTCAAAAAATCTGTCTGAAAAAGAATTATTGAAAATGTTTAATTTAGACTCATTAGAAGATTTATTCGGGAACACCACAATAGAAACATCAGAAGAGACGGTTATATACTCCCCTACAGTATCAAATATAGATGCTTTAAGTGATGAGAATGAACCCACCTCTCCAGTTATAACTTCCAGTTACAGAGAACGGGCTAAAAAGAGAATAATGAGGAAGTCAAAGCACCAACAAAATAACACACTTAATAGTTCAGGAAATTGTGAAGAAACTGAAAATTTGAGTATTGCATCTCTAGAAAAATCAACAGATTTATTTCATCAAGGAGATAATGAAGTAAATATTAATCAAAATTGTATTACTCTCAACCGTGATAAAGAATCTGAAAATTTGAATGTTGCATCACAAAGAAAATCTGAAGATCTATTTATTGAAGGAGATAGTGAAATAAATATTAATCAAAATTATATCGATGATGAAGAAACTCAAAATTTGAATGTTGTATTAGACCAATCTCAAAAAAAATCTACAGATATTTTTCTCAAAGAAGAAAACATTATTAGAGATAATGAAACCGAGAGTTTTTGCTTCAAACTTGACAGTTCTCAGAATGAAAATACAACAAATTTAGAGAATTTCGATGTAGCTTCATCTGTTATCTCTTACCATAATAAACAAGAAAGTGTGAAACAAGATAGCAAAGCATGTGTTGAAGACAAGTCAATAACAGAAGAATATTCTGCTTTCAGAAACAGCACTTTTAATATAAATGAAATATGTGACTTGTCTTATTTTGGTTTGTCAATCAAAGAACCAAAATCCAACACAAAACGGGAAGAAAGTGAAACAGAAATTAGTCAAAAAGATATTCTTGACATAAGTGAAATATGTGATCTTGCTGAATTTGGAATAGTAACTAAAAGCCCTGATCGGACCCCTGATATTACAGATATAGAGCAAGAAACTACTATGGAGACTAACATGTCTCCAATTCTTGGAAATACAAAATCAAAAGTATGTGGTCCTAAAAAGATGATTTTTGATAACAAAGTAGATGATGTTAGTGATGATGACTTAGAGTTTATTCTCCCTAGTCAGATAGACAGAAAGATCTTGTCAAATGCAGTTTCAGTTGAAGATCAATTACCACGGAATATTCAGAATAGCACTAATGTTACAGTAAGGAAAAAGAGAAATGTTAATAATGATCTGGAATCACAAAAAACAAACAGTAGGTCAAATGTACCAAAGGGTTTTAGGACTATAACGAGGAGACATTTATCGTTTAATGATAGTGATGATGATTTTGAAACTCCTATTTACAACGTTAACAGAAAACCAAGTCCTCTGTCAAAAATCAACAAAAAACATGAAAGTTTTGAGAAAACTACAAAACCGAAAAAGAGTCCAAAAGATTGTAATAAAAGGAAACGTTTAAGCAACAACGAAGATGCTGATGTATCAATATTACAGAACAATACATCCTTAGAATTATCAAGCTTTGATAACTCTAAACACGTTTTAAGTTCGACAAACAATTCCGACTTGTCCATAACCCAAATGTTAAGTTTAATAAATAAGTCTTCACAGAAAGAAAATGTTCGACTTTCAGAGAAAAAAGTTGTTAAAAATTCACACACAACTCCAGTACACGATCTGAGCATTTTTGACAACTTGGCGAACTATGAAGAGTTCAGTAGTTCATTTATACCGCCGGTAGTTGAGGCTTCTAGTTCAAAAAAACGTAGTGAAAATTCGTATCTGTATATAGATAATGGTACAAATGGTAATTGTAGTAAGATATTAGATAATAGGAAAATATCTAGCAGGAAAAATCGTGAAGAAACTCGTTCCAGTGTTGATGATTTTGACGATTTTCATTTTCTCAAACCACCTGTTCCAGGATTTAGTACATCAAAAAGTAAAACTCATGAGAAAGTTAGCAGTAATAAAAAGAAGAAAAAGGTAAGACTTAATATTTTCCACTGAATAAAAATACTAAGATAGGTGTATATCATCGAAATAAAATTAGGCTCTTAAGGTACGCGCACACTGACCAGAGCCGCACTCGCCGCACGCATCGCACTTTTTTTCTTGTCGCGCACACTGACCCGTACCGAACGCGCCGCATTATTCGCTATTTAGTTTCTTTTTTCCCCTACTAACACCCGTATTTGCCAATCGAATTTCTCATCAGTAGCTTCCGGAGTCCTGTCTGCGGTGATAAACGTGTTTTTTTTAATATTTCTCGACAATAAATGACAAAGAACAAGAAATAATTATAAGCTCCTTAATAGCTAATAGAAGAAGAAATCACGAAAAAGAATCGAAAGTTGTAGGTTCACAATATTTGCAAAAATCCACATTATTTCCATATTTAATTGAGGATGAACTATTTTTTTTAATATAAGCCATGAAAAATTTGCGAACTTTCTTAGCATATTGAATTTCTAATCTCCTCTTCGGCTGCCTACGCTACGTAGAGTGGAAGGAATTGCGTGTGACGTCAGCAGCACTAGCCGCATTTACCGAAAATCATTCTGGCCTTACAATGCTGGCCGCATTTTCGTCGATGCGATTCGTGCGGCTCTGGCTAGGGTGCGCACCTTCATTGAAAGTAATACCACAGATTAGGGGTATCCTATCAGTATACAGATAAAAATATTGTCCCTAATTCGTGGTACGAAAATTGTTTTTTATGACGATGTGCAAACGAGTAAAATTTCCTGTGAGCAAAAATAAACTCGCGTAAAATAACAATAAACAGCGTAATAGAGAGATATCGCTAAACCGAATAGCGTGCATGGACGTTAATAAGGCCAGGTGTTATTTCCTTTACGTGAGGTGGTATTAACTCTCTTCATTTATAGTTATCGGATCGGAAAGAATTCTGTTCGCGTCGCGTCCGCTATTTAAACTTAACCTAACTTTGAATTTAAAACTTTGAAATTGTTTTGTTTCCTAGGTATTTTAAAACTAAAGGGCTAAAGTACTTATTTCCAGTGCTTTATTGTTCAACGTGGGTTTCTGGCAACAAGCAACAAATTCTCTTAGAAGGGCTAAACTACTGTAAACCTAAGCCTCTTTATAGGTTCTTTAATATTGGAAGAGGTGGAATCCATATTCTGGGCCATATTTATTTAATTAAAACTAATCCCAGCTACTTAAATATCAAATTACCTAATAAAACTAAAGTAATAATTCAAAACAATTCAAACATAACCTAAAACAAAAGATCTCGCCGGCCGGCCCTGGTTGTCTAGCGACCAGAATATAGCGCTTGGTATAAGTGATCCGCAAATTACATGTGGCGGTAACGTTATTAGCGGGTGTTGCGTTAAAAATTGACTCGCGCATATCGTAACCATGATAAGGTACGCGTAAATACTGCATGACGCTATTCGGTTTTCCGATATCTTTCTAATAACTGTGCCGGTCAGGCGCTGTGCACAATTTTAGAGGCTATAAGTGGGCGTGCTATGTGCGCAAACTAGTAACCTAATTAGTGCCCGATTCCGAAAATTGGAACCACGAAAAACAATAAAGAAAAAACAAAGTTTATAATCAGTATAATCTGTGGTAATACAAACAATATTTTTCTTCGGTCGCTGCGGCGCGTGCTGCTCTAGTCAGTGTGCGCGTACCTTTAGAAGCTCGTTTCTTTTAGGTTGAGTCAATAAATTTTATTAGTTGGGTATTAAAATTGTTAGAAAAAAAATCAAATATGTCAATATAATTATTTAATAACGAAAATGTTATTCAATGATACTGTGTGATGTAGTTTTTACTTTTTTAATTTTAGCCTAATGAATTTCTGGACTTAGAAGCTGAACTATCTGAGGATGAAAGCGTGTTTATATCTGATGATGAAAGGGAAGAAAACATTGATTGTTATGAAGGAAGTTTTGTTAATGATGAAAGTCAATACGTGAATACAGAAATGCATGCAAAATATTTGCAATCCTTAAGGTAAGTTTGAAAAAAAAACCGGTCCTAATGTTCACACTTTTATAATAAGAAATATTTTACGAATTTCAAAAAAATAAGATCTATCTTTACACCAGAAAAAGCAATAAAAGTTATATAAAAATTACAAATATAAGTGATCATTATTTTTTTTACTGTGATAAACAAAAAAATTGGTCAAGTGCGAGTCGGACTCAAAAAAATGAAGAAAAAAATGAAGAAACACATTACTAAAAATTGTATTAATCAATAATAAATATGTAAAAAGTAAAAATAAATTTGTAAAAATATGTAAAAATTAAAAAAAAACGATTTAAAAAAAGTCGCCTTGACTAGGATTCGAACCTGCCTTACTACGGCTCTAACGTCATAGCAGCGTAAAGTCCTAACGCTTTAACCACGCAGCCAACCAAGGACTTGAAAGATTCTATGTAAAATTCGTACTTAAAAGATAATGTTTAGTGAAAGTACTTTTTTATTTATAAACATTTATTTAATTCTGTTTTTAGTATTTGTTCTTATAGCGGCAACATAAATACATTATCTGTAAAAATTTCAACTGTCTAGCTATAAGGGTTCATAAGATAGACCTTTGTGACAGACGGAGGGACAGCGAAGTCTTAGTAATAGGGTTCCCGTTTTTACCCTTTAGGTACGGAACCCTAATAAAAACAAAAAAAATTGTGTATGCATTATGTCATTTTTGAAGTGAAACTTCTTACTAACAGCTATTAGATTGGAGGATTTGAAGGACGTTTGAAAAAGTGACATATAATGCTGTTTTAATATAAATATTATTTTCAATTTATTTCTGCCATCTGTACATTTTCTGTTCCCTCAATAGCCTGCAAATTTTGTGTAAAACCACCCAAAATACACACTTTTATGCAAATGCCTAATAATGTTAACACTTAAATTTATTTAAGAAGAGAAAAATGTTTGAACCTAACCAACAATTCGGATTTATAGTGGTTTACAGTAATTTTGTCAAATTATACGAATATTCTGGTTGATTATTGGTTTGATATATGACAATATCCTCCAATGAAAATGTGAGTTGCTTAACTATAATAATTCACTTGTTTCGTCGAACTGCTTGAATCCATTTTTGCTTTTGATCAAATCGGTTTGAGAAACTATAAAGCTATAAAATGTTGTTTCGGGAGAGTTGAATATCCGGGAAGCTTGAGTTATTAAATGTTATTGCATCCAACAATAACGCTCTCCTTTACGCGTTAACATTTTTTTCGACAATTTTATTAACATTTGAAATTGTCACAACACAACACGACGCCTAGTTCGGATTCTTTTTAACTCATTTTTTACTACCAAAAATAGCGTTACATCACACAAACCTCGTATTTCAGTTTTTTTATAGTTTTAATAACTGCACTATCAAAAAACTAAAATACTTAAATATTATGACAAAGCCACAGTTGCAATATTATTTTAATGCGATCAGCATGAACTGTAACCGGGGCGCCTTGAAATACATAGCGAAAATGTCTGATTTCTACCGTAGACAGCGCTGCTGGTCGGATTTTTTTTAAATCAACTGACATGCACCAAGCCTATAAAATAAATTACAACCTAAAATAAATTACAACTAGACCAACAGGCAGTTGGCGCAATAAAAAATAAAAAAGAGTACGGACCAAATAAATGACCTCTAGGGCTTGACCTCGCCAAAATTGTCATCGATTGTCCTTTCCCAGTCGTCTTTTTCCGATTGTATGATACATAAAATACCAAAGGTATAAGTACAATGGGAAAAGACTGCAATACATTACTTATATTTTGTAATATGTATACAGGGTGGTCCGAACAGTATTCCGGAAACTTCGGCAGTACATCCTGCAGATAAAAATAAGTAAAAAAGTTTGTATAAATGTATATTCTAAAATGCTTAGTTTTGGAGATACAGGGTGTAGAAGTTTCATTTTTATTTCGATTTTTTTCAAATAATTTATGAAATAACGTCAATATTTGGATGAAAATTGGTGTCTGGGAGTTTTCTGACATGAGAAATTTGGGGATTTTGATGTCAATATGACTCCTACTTGTAGAGGGCGCCACCTACATGTGTTTTAACTGTTTTGAAGAGTACTAACTTTTCGTCCGTACCTGTATAAAACTATGGAGTGAAAAAATATACATTTCCGTGACTTTATACTTAAAAAAGGTCTCTTGGTAAAAATCGCTGCGAGCAACCGTTCTCAAGATATTTAGAATGAAAATAGTCAATACATGTCATTATTGACAAAAAATAAACATGTTGAGGGTAGATAGTTACTTGTCTGAAATAATAAATTTGGGAAATATTTAGTGGACAGCAAACTGCAGGAGAGAGGATTGGGCATTAGATACCAATATGACGGCGGTCTGTTCAACATAAAAAGACTCAGGGCAAAAACACGTACAAAATTTATCACAGAACTTCAATACGCTGACGACTGCGCTCTAGTTGCAAACACGGTACAGCAATTACAAGAAAGGTTGAACACATATACCTGGGCATACGAGGCTTTGGGCCTTAAGCTAAACATCGACAAAACTAAAATCATGTGCACTCCCCCGGAAGATCACAACAATGCTATAAAAATCGGAGAAGAACTATTGGAATATGTGGCGGAATTCAATTACCTTGGCAGTTTGATTTCGGAAAAGGCCAATATTGACTCTGAAATTCAGCGCAGGATTAGTAGCGCCTCAAGAGCATTCTGGAAATTAAAAGACAGGGTTTTCTACAATCATGACTTAAGTACAAAAACAAAACTTGCAGTGTACCGAGCAATTATAATCCCCACCATGTTATATGGGAGCGAAACCTGGGTGCCGTACCGTCGACACATGAACGCATTAAACAAGTTGCAACAGAGACACCTTAGACAACTCTTTAGAGTCCGGTGGTTCCATCATGTCTCAAACGTATCGGTCCTTGAAAAAGCGAACTGCGAGAGTATAGAAGTCATGGTCACAAAATCCCGCTTAAGATGGGCTGGTCACGTATGTAGAATACAAGAAAACCGCATACCAAAATCTCTGCTTTACGGTGAGCTTGTAGACGGTCAGAGGAGGCCGGGTGGACAACTGAAAAGGTACAAGGACATTTTCCACGAAAACTTAAAGGGAATTAACATGCAGAATGAGTGGGAAAAAGCAGCTCACAATAGAACTCAATGGAGAAGAGTTGTAAACTCAGTTAACAGCGGCAACCAAAAAGTAAAGAGGCAACAAAGCAATGAGATTTTTGAATGTCCGGAGTGCGGTAGGCAGATAACATCACGTATCGGTCTTTTCAGTCACAGAAAAGCTCATGAAAGAAAACGCCTTGCGTGACCATCTTCTTTATGTGTATCGAATACTCGTCAGCGAGTAACGCTGTACGGATGTATGTATGTATGTATGTATGGGAAATTTTTACTTTTTTTAAATTAACCATAAACTTTTTGCAAAAAAATGATGATAAAACAGTTTCTGTTGAACTTTTGGCACAAAAACATTTCAAATTTATGATTTCAATCTAATAGCTATTTAGTCAACGTGTTTAATTTATGTCAATGATGACAGGTATTGATAATTTCGATTCCAAATATCTCGAGAACCATTACTCGTAGCGATGTTTATCAAGAGACCTTTTTTACGTAAAAAATGTCGTAAACGTATATTTTTTTACTCAGTAGTTTTATACAGGTGCGGACGAAAAGTTATTACTCTTCAAACCAGTTAAAAAATATCTAGGTGGCGCCCTCTACAAGTAGGAGTCATACTGACATCAAAACAAAATTTCTCATATCAAAAAACTCCAAGGCACCAATTTTCATCCAAATATTGACGTTACTTCATAAATTATTTGGAAAAATCGAAATAAAATTGACACTTCTACACCCTGTATTTCCGAAACCAAGCATTTTAGGACATACATTTATACGAACTTTTTTACTTATTTTTATCTACAAAATATGCTGCCGAAGTTTCTGGAATACAGTTCGGACCATCCTGTATATTTTCGTAATTGTAATTTCAATATAATAACTTTACTATATTTTAGAAGTCCTGTTAATAATCGAGCTAAATTCAAGATACATCTTAAGCCTGCCGAAAATGTTGTCAACGTTTTTTCCCAGCCAGTAGAGAAGGACATAGACAATTACCTTGAGGTATTGTACTTAATTATGATCGTTTTTTTTTTAATAACACATTAAAATCCCAAGATAATTACAATGCTATATTGGAAAACATTTATTAATGTTGTAAACAAAGCTAATGTAAAATATTTTTGTTATAGGATTCATTTTGTGTGGACGCTGATGACGAAGAGTTGTCTCAAAACCACGAACTGTCCGAACTAGAAGTTCTGGAACGGAAATTGAAGGAACAAAAAAAGAGGAAAAAGAGCCAAGAACATAAAACACAGAAGCCGAAAAGACGGAGAATTATGCAGGTTCTGAGCGATGACAGCGATTGAAATTGTACGTTTCAAACTGCCCTTAGATCTGAGTACGCCATTGTGATATTTGTTAAATAAATGCCATAATTTTATAAATATTATTCATAGGGTCCAAAAGTTACTTTATTATTTATTTTTTGTACCGTTATATTAGAATAATATAAATTTTCCTATTATTTAGTTTTTGTTTTATTATACTCGATAATAGCACAGATTAGGTATACTATAAGTATACAGATAAAAATCTTATCCCTAATTCGTGGTACGAAAATTGTTTTTTTATGACGATGTGCAAACGAGTAAAATTTCCTGTTCGCAAAAATAAACTCGCGTAAAATAACAATAAACAGCGTAATAGAGAGATATCGCTAAACCGAATAGCGTGCATGGACGTTAATAAGGCCAGGTGTTATTTCCTTTACGTGAGGTGGTATAAACCTTAGATTAACAATAAAAGTATAAACTCTCTTCATTTATAGTTATCGGATCGGAAAGAATTCTGTTCGCGTCGCGTCCGCTATTTAAACTTAACCTAACTTTGAAATTGTTTTGTTTACTAGGTATTTTAAAACTAAAGGGCTAAAGTGCTTATTTCCAGTGCTTTATTGTTCAACGTCTGCCAGTGGATTTAGGGCAACAAGCAACAAATTCTCTTAGAAGGGCTAAGTCGTAATCTGCTGTAAACCTAAGCCTCTTTATAGGTTCTTTAATATTAGAAGAGGTGGAATCCATATTTTGGGCCATATTTATTTAATTAAAACTAATCCAAGCTACTTAAATATCAAATTACCTAATAAAACAATTCAAACATAACCTAAAAAGATCTCGCTGGCCGGCCCCGTTTGTCAAATACCCGCACATGGCCATTTAAGCAATTTTTAAACGTTATTTAGAAATAGCGCTTGGTGTAATTGATCCGCAAATGACGTCAGGCGGTAACGATTAGCGGGTGTTGCGTTAAAAATTGACTCGCGCATATCGTAACCATGATAAGGTACGCGTAAATACTGATGACGCTATTCGGTTTTCCGATATCTCTCTAATATCTGTGCCGGTCAGGCGCTGTGCACAATTTTAGAGGCCATAAGTGGGCGTGCTATGTGCGCAAACTAGTCAAGAACAGTTAACCTAATAGGACTGCTCATTCAGCCAAGTGTCCGCCAGGTGCATGCGAAAACTACTCGCTTTGTGACGTCATTGTAGCCCTTGTCATGGTTATTAGTCAAATACGTTTAAAATAAAGTATACGGAGGGTACCGCTTAAATTCCTGTCCCGATATTGAAGGATGGCTATAGAATTTCAATGCATTTCCTACATAAGTCAATCCTTGGTTTGTAGGAGGTTTGACTAAACAAGGATGAACCTATGTCTTGAACATTCGACTCGATTTTCTGTCCTCCTACAATACTGGGACGTAAATCCTCTCATTGCTCTTATGGGGAGGCCGTCGTATATTTTATTTAAACGTATTTGTTATTAGTCCTTATCCGGCAACCAATAATACACACACGTGCATTATTGGTTACCGAATGCAAAACGTTCATTATTTAGTTTATTTATTTAAACATCTTATATGTATGCAGTATTGAAAATTAACTGTATAAATCGTATTAAATACTCGGATAATGCATTTTTAAGAACAGCAGGTCCCAGCATCACCTTTTGCAAGCATTCTTTTTAGAGTACTTCCATATTTTGCTTTAAAATAATTAATAAACAAAATCGTGGACACTTAGTATGCACTTTGTCGCAATCCACAACACAAAATGAACGTATTTATACACTCTATAGCTCTAAAAACTTTAAGGACACCTTTTTCACATTTAAAATTAACAAAATAATTAACTCAAAATTTCTCAGCTGTTATTTTTATAAGTTTACCATAGGCAACTAATAATACACACTATCATGACAAGGCCACGAAGGCTTTGACAAGGGCTACAATGACGTCACAACTGTCAGCTGAAGCGCGGGAAGAGGCGAACGTACGTCTTATGAGGATGAGCAATCCTTTGCCTATATCCGTTCTTGCAAACTAGTAACCTAACTAGTGCCCGATTCCGAAAATTGGAACCACGAAACACAATAAAGAAAAAACAAAGTCTATAATCTGATAATAGTTTCCCATTGCTTGCGAACTTTATGACGCACCCTATATAGAAGTTAGTTTGACAGACATTGTATATCATTTCAAAAGCCACTACAAAATCAAATAATCAATCAATCAGATAAATATAGATAATAATATCTGTTGATTGAGACAAATATATAGAATATTATTTGTTTTAGATGTTTATTTACAGTATACATATACATATAATATGAATATTTAAATATTCCTTTATATTATTAGTGACAAAAATTATAATATAATTTCATTCTTTATGCTCTTTGACAGTTCCTTATTTGGCAGTACAATGGAGTTCAAAAGTATGGTTTCTGATGGCACACTCACTGAACAACCTAAAAATGTTGTATGCTGTAATCACAATATAATATTTTATCTAAAGAAAGATTTGATTTTTTTTTCCAGAAAATGTCAGAAAAAACAATATATTTTTTAAATTAGAATCACAGATAACAACTATACTTAAAAATTACTAATATACAGGGTGTTTCAAAAAACATGTGCCATCTCTCGTGGGGAGATTCCTCACCTAAAAATAAGATTTATTTTTCATATCAACATAGGTCCGATTCTGCTTTGTTTCGTAGCTACAGGGTGTTAAAATCTTAATAATCTTTTGATTTGTTCTAATTTTCTTCCAAGTATTTTTAGTGATTCGAATGAAATTTTGAGGGTAAAAGTTACTATAAGTGCTACATATTTTAATGCTAAAAAAGTATCGATAAATTCATCAGGGACGTGCATATGGGTTATAACAGGAAAATTTAAAAAAAAAACGTGCGCCACTGACTTTCTTTTGATATCAAAATTATATAGGCCGTTTAATGCCAATTAAAAGTTATCTCTTGATATTTTGTTGAGTTCGGCCTCCTTGATGAGATAAACGCAATTTTATTAATCATAATTAATAGTAGTGGGAACTATCGAATGAATACTATCGAAACATTCGATAGTTGCAATTCATTCGAATAATTCGATAGCTAGTAAGAAAACATTCGTTGAAAACTATTCGAATAAAAATTATCGAGTAGATGCGTCATCTGCCTTGAAATATTGTATTCTAGTAATTCGACAGCAAAAACCATTCATTTATAAAATTCATTCATTTATGAAATTCATTTATTCGTCAGGATCGATTATCATAAAATATTAACTGGATTTTAGTTGTCGCCCGGCGACGTAGGTTTCTTTCCGAGAAACCCGACAGCGGTCGGTGGCAATGCTATGAAAGAAGTCGGCATCTTTGATTTTTTGCGGAGTCATATAAAGATAAGGACACATTTTTTTTTATTTTGGTGCTAGTATTTACACAGAAAATACATTATGAAGGGCGCTGTTGCCATATATTGGTATTAGTTGATATTAGCAAAGAATATTATTGTTTGGCTTTAGTTAGTTAGGGATAGTATGTCTATATATTTTGCATTTTTTTTATTAATATTCTGTTGTTACACTGCAATAATACTTGTTATTTTGGATGTAGGAAAATGATTTTTAATGTTTTTAAGCAAAGACTGGTTTAATAAAAAATAATAATAACAGTAATAATTTGTTATACCTATTAACAACAAAATTTAAAATAATTTAATATAAACATTTTTTTACGTAGTAGCAAAATATAAACAACAAATTAGATGTCAAAATTATTTATATTAGATCCTATTTAAAAATAATATAGTCTTTACATTTTTTGGCCAACGTTGGTTTATTAAATAATAATAATTACAGAACTAATTTGTTATATTAACAACAAACTTTAAAATCATGAAATATAAACGTTTATTAATTTTCTAAGCATGCAGTGTAAGGGAAGGAAAATATAAATAAAAAATTAGAAATCAAAATTATTTATATTAGGTACTTTATATTACTATTTAAAAATAATATTTACTTTTACTGGCATTTACTTTAAAAAATAAATGAAATATTTCTTCGCAAAAAACTACATGTAAGAGAATTAGCATAAACAAAATACAAACATTGTTAACTTTTTTTTAAATTGGCACGTGTAAAACTTTCAATTTAATTTTCTCATCCCATAGTTTGAGTTCGATAACCATTTACTTAACCACATTACTTAAATATGATTATTAAGTTCAACTAATTCATATTATTAAAACATCTAAAATACAAATATGTATTTTTAAAATTAGTTCTAAGTTCATCTCATCTCTCTTAAAAATTGCTACTTCTCAAAATTTCCCATTAAAAAATAGACCATATACCATATAAAATAAAATAATTGAAAGATCGGGCTACGGAAAATCACACAAATTTTCGGAAAATTTTTGACCACCTGCACACGCACACAATTCGTCAATTAAAAAAAAACTACTATTTTAGTATTTTAAATATTATTAATAAACGCAAAAATAGCACAGTATTTATAAGGCGAAGTTATAAAAAATTGGAAGAACTAATAATGCACTCACGCAAACAAAAATCAAACGAATACTAAATTTCATTTATCAAAAGCATTCGATAGTCGTGGCTTAACGATAACCATTTAGTCGCACGGCGAGGTTGTCACATATGCTTTAGCATACAAATGAATGAATGATTTTATTCGAATAAAACCATTCGATAGTTGAAATCATTCATTCAGTAATCATTCGATAGTCTAATTCATTCGATAGTTCCCATCGCTAATAATTAATAAAATTATTAAAATAAAAATAAAATTAAAAAATTATATATTTTACCTAATTTATTATTAAATATTATTACTGTTAGTTATTATTACTATTAGTCCAACCTAGAGCAATTTCAAATAAAAAAATAATGGTATTTAAAATAATTACAAAAAATCCAATTTTAAAAATTTTTAACATCTTATAACTCTAAAACTATGCATTTCCATAACCAAGTTTATAGGAACTTTGAGAGGAATCAATGAGTACTTATTTAAAACGTTCGCAAGTTAATGATATTAAATTTTTTAAAGGTTGCTATTAGACTTGGATCAAGGCAAATTAATCAAAATTGCGTTTATCTCATCAAGGAGACCAAAATCGACAAAATATCAAGAGACAACTTTTAATCGGCATTAAACTGCTTACTTCGCTAACAAGAGAAAAAAAAGTCAGTGGCGTTCCTGGTGAATATGTCGACACTTTTTTAGCTTTAAAACATGTCGCATTTATAGTAACTTTTGCCCTGAAAATTTCATTCGGGCTAAAAGTACTTGGGAGAAAATTATAATAAATCGAAAAAATATTAAGACTTTAACACCCTGTACCTACGAAACAAAGCGGAATCGAACCTATGCCGATATGAAAAATTAATCTTATTTTTACGTGAGGAATCTCCCCACGCGAGATGGCACATGTTTTTTGAAACACCCAGTATATGTCATATATTCTTTTACTGAACAGATTTTACATGGGCTTACCCATGTTAAAGAAAATAAAAAGTTTTAAATATAAAAAAAACAAATTCATAAAAAAAATCTTAAAATGAGTTCTTAGAACAATATTTTAGATATTTTGAATCTCTAGAAAAATGTTTTAACATTGAAAATATTCTTTTAAAATACATTTATACATATCAATATATTTTTTAATTGTGCCTTTTGTGATTCTTATTTTATGTCTGGTACGTATTTTATGTATTACAATAAAGACTATTTATTATTTTTATTATACAGGGGGTCCCAGAAATAAATGCAAGCATTTTAACTGGTAGTATAAGGCGTAATTGCTTGGTATCTGTCGCTGATTTATCGATTACTGCCAGCGGCTCTGAAAATGTTGCATTTTTTTAAATTCTCAAAGAACTCGGTTATTCTAAATTTATTTTGAAAGTGGTAAAGAGAAAGTATGTTTCTTTTGGCCAGATCTACCACCCAATAAAATACTTGCACTTATTTCTGGGACACCCTGTATATTGGCGTGACTTATTTTTTTATCTTTTTAAAATAAACTAAAGAAAATATTTTCTAAACATTACTTAATTTTACTTGTTAGACATAATCATTGTTTTCTATGGCATTTCTAGAATTAATGTATAGAACTTTGATACTTACCTAATATTGTAATAGAAGGATTTAATCTTCCATCGATGTTAAACAAGCGAGGGTTTTCCATTTTAGCAAACGGTTTATTAGGGTCAGGATCACAGGGTGTGCCTTCTACTCTAGCCCATTTACCGACTTTGGAATTTCTACCAATAATACTGTGCAGTATCAGACTGCGTTCTTCGATCACGGCAGCGTCTAATATTATACTTTCCCTTATTCTAACGCCAGCCCCTATGATTACTCCAGGCCCTATGCTTACATTAGGTCCAATCTAAAAATAAGGAATACCTGTTACCAGCGGTAGCAAAGTTTTTTAATGATGCGGGTGATGGGCGTCGCATCCCTTCAAAATAATGTAATACTTTTTTTATTTAAAAAAGTCACTGAGATCTCCTATAATTCTCAGTAAATTTATTCAAATTAAATTTACTGAGAATTTTAATTTATTTCAAATTTTGAAAAGCTACTATTTCAATACAAAAAATTCTAATATGTATTTCGCCACTGCATGAAAATCTACAAAATAAAATAGTTATTTTTTGTAAACACTGCTATATAACAGCAGTATATAGCATAGTATAAACATCTTTTGTTTAACAGCAGTATATACAGGGTGGCGCACCTCATTCGCCTCGGTGGATTATACGAAAACGGAAAGATATAGAAACAAAATATTTTATGGGTATATGTGGGAAAACAAGATCCATACCATAGTTATATTTTTTCTTATGGAACGCCCTGTATTTTTATTCAAAATCTGAGCTAGATAGGTATAGGAAACCCTAACATAGTTTGAAAGAGCATTTAAATCTGCTTCGACTTATTTAAAAAAATACATAGTGTTGTATTTGAAATAACGAAGTTTTTATGTAAAATAAATATTAAAAATAGCCCAGCAGTTTTTGATGCCCCTGTATACATTTAAGGAAGCAATAACATTTTTAGTAAAGTTTATTTCTCTGGCTTCAAAGTTAGCACAAGAATTAACTCTAAAAGGTAATGTACAGGGTGTTAAAAGCTTTTTTATTATAGCACACATATTTAAATATCTTTAAATATCTCAGAAACCAAAGCATTTAAACATATTAAACCCTTATAATAAATGCCTTATGCCCAAGAATCCAAAAATTAAATAAAATACAGGGCGTTCGATAAGAAAAAATATAACTTTGGTATGGATATTAGTTCTGACACTGCACACAAGGCCTGTACATTTGAAAATAATTTGAAATTATGCATATTGCCTCTCTACATATACCCATAAAAAAATTTGTTTCTACATCTTTCCGTTTTCGTATAATCAACCGAAGCGAATGAGGTGCGCCACCCTGTAGGTATATTCTTATAAGCCATATTAGAATTTTTTGGAGAAATGAATCCGCAACATAGGTATAGACATTTTTTTATTTCAATACTTTACATTAAATGAGCTTGAATTGTATGATCATGTGGAAAATTGGGAACTAATTTGAACTAACATTGATGACTTGATAATTAACCAATGAAATACTGCATTTATAAATTATTACTATAAATATATATAAAGTAACTCTTACCACTGCTGTTGGGTGAATTTGAGCAGAATCATCAATGTGAACATCAGGAATTATCTTACATTGTTCAGACTGTCTACCACCTGCTAGCCTTTCAGGATACTTTGTTCTGTATAATTCCAAGTAATGGCGATTAGCATAAATAGCAGAACTGGCAGTTTTAAGTTGGGACCACCAATTTGACACAGGAAAAGCAAACAATTTGCCTGTACCAGCTAAGGGTGTTAAAATATCTCTTTCCAGTTGGATATAACCTGCATCTTTACTTCCATTTCCATTACTCCTAAAAAGGAAAATTATATAAAAGTTATCAAACATTATGTTTTATAAACATACTTATAATAGTCTTCTTGCTTTGACATGAATGTTTCTCCAATAATATTAAATATTTTCAAAGAAAAAACATAAACACCACAGTTAATCAGTGTAGACACATAAGAACTTGGTTTTTCGACGTAATGAGTAACTTCATTAGACTTTTTGTCCAATACTAAACAACCATAATTTAACGATTGTTGTTTTGTTGCTTCTGTACTCATTATTGTAATAAACGCTTCTGCCGATCTGTCTTTGTGAAATTGATATAAATCGTTTAAACAGAAATCAGCACATACATCGCCATTCATTACAAAGAAGGCATCTGGAGAACCCAACCTGATTTGATCTCTAAAGTGAAACAGACATCCTGCTGTTCCCAATGCTGTAAACTCTTGGAGATACCTAAAAAATATTTAAATAACTAGAGTGTTTACAAGCACTCAAATATGTTGAAGCACTTTATGGGAATATCATATTGCAACTGCATGTCATTCACAAATTGTTGTATTTGGGTAACTGGATAGAATCCGATAATAAAAATTTCTTTTAGCTCTTTTACAGATAAACAAGCTTCAATGTGGTGCTGGATAATTGGAAGTCCGGCGACGGGAAATAGGGGCTTTGGAATGTCTAGCGATAATGGACGAAAACGGGTGCCTATAACAAAATTACGATAATGCATTTTAATAACAAACAAATTAAGTTACCCTTTTGGGGGCCTCCAATTAGGATCACAGCCTTTAACATAGTGAGATTTTTGTTTTCTTTGTTAGTATATAATTTAAATTAAGTAAATGTGCGTTATTAATAAAATAAAGCTTATCTAAAGACACGTAAACAATTTTTTAAAAATATTTTTATCATTTTTAATTTCGAGGCTAAGTTGCTAAATCTTCCATTAATTTTAATAAATTTAAAGGCCTAAGCTGCTAGGCGTATCCGGCCGGAAAATAGAGTTACCCACCCTCCCTGACCTGAACTCGTATCTTATTTGCTGTCAAATCGTACCGACAGAAAAATAATATAAGAATTAATTAAAACATCCATAAATCCAATAATAGTAAAATATCCTACTTACAACTGTATAAAAGACAATCTCCCTCTTTTTAACTCCTAATCTAATTTCTTTTTTAAAATTAATTTGATTATTTCAATAAGTATGTTAAAAAAATGGAAAACAATAATTAATCAAATTTCTGTAAAAAGTATTTTTGGTAACTTGAAAAATTAGCCGTACAGTTCAACTTAAATTTCTTAAAACTTCTGTTTATTTTTTAAATACTATATATGACAATTTCAAGGAAAAATCGATATCTTCTGTTAATACGTACATTCCTAATAAATAATTTTCCCGCCAATAAAATTTTAATCAATCGCACCTAACCTATATTTTTTAAAAGGCAAACAAATGAACAAAGCCCGAATCTCACGAATCTGGCATCTGGCTCAAATTCAAAATTATCGTAGCATGACTGTAGTTTTATATAGATGATATAATTTTTTTTAAAATGTATATTAGAATTAAAGCCGACTGGCTTGAAGACAAATCAAAAAGGGAAAGCGTAATTCCGTTATCAAAAACAACAACAATTGAAGAACTTCGGAAACTAGTTTTTAGTGAAATTGATTTAGAACCGAATTTACAACGCTTATTTTACAAAGGCAAAGAGGTACGTTATTTTTTTTATTATATAGTAAATAAAATAGATGTAACAAATAGATTTTTAGTTGGTAAACGGCCACAATGTAAATGATTATTCAATTTTACCGAATGACGTAATAGTGGTATTTAAAAGACAAATTATAGTGGAACAAAGCACTAAAGACGATGTCTTATCGACACCATCAACAATAGTTGAGGAAGAAAGTGAAAGCAAACCAGTAGCGAAGGATGTTTTAGTTAAAACTGTATCAGACTTTTATGATGTAAATGATTTAGTGGATGTCAGATTCTTAGACACTGGAGCTTGGTACGAGGCTTCTATAATAGATGTTTTTAGAAAAGAAAGTGATGAGAAAGTTAAGGAAGAACATCTTGTATTTCGAGTTAAAAGGTAAATTATCAAAACCTATTCAATGATACACTCTTTATTGACTGTTAAGATATATTCTAGTGCTGAACATGTATCAATTGTACCATTTGAGGAAGACGTAGAATTTAGTAACATAAGGCCTAGAAGTTATTATACCTATAAAATACCAGAATTATCACCAGGAATGAGAGTTTTAGTTAATTATAATATTGATTCACCAAGAAGTAGAGGCCTCTGGTAATAATTCTATAACTTCTATAAAAAAATCTTAATTAAGTATTTAGAAAGAAAATTATGTTAAAAATTATTTAAATATATATATGTGCCATATACTTAATAAGAGTTGATATTTATTTCCTAATAAGTTGTTACTTATATCGAAGTTGCATATTAAAAATATAATTGACACAATATATCTATTATCTAATCTACAATCGATCTGTTCTAGATGGTGTATAATATTTTGGCTCTAAATATCTGTATATTGTCAATTTAAAAGTAGACAAACATCAACATACAATAATCTTTTTAAAAAATATGGTTTATTAAGTATTAATAAAAAAAAACATTTTTATATATTTTTTCAGGTATGATTTTGAAATTTCCAAAGTTGCCAGTGTTGACGTTATAGGCAAGCTTTTTATTGTAGATGGTAGCATCGATGACTGTAATATTAAATTTATCCAGGAGGTCATGCGAATAGAGGAAACTAAGCCTAAGAAATCTAGAGAGGAAGTGAAAAGTCATAAGAAACGTATGATACAACAAAATTTTAGAACTAAAACTGAAAAATATTCACTGATTTTATTTTGAAACAGTGATTCAAATAATCTTCACTAAAAATTATTAAAAAAATATACTTAATAGACATTTATAAACAACAAATTTTAGGTGTATATCCATATTATTGTGAGAAATGCAAAGACAATAAGATGAAACTCTGTAAAGCGTGTGGTTGCAAAATTTGTGGAGGAAAGAACGATTGGGATAAGATTGTTCTTTGTGATGAATGTGATCAGGGGCATCACACAACGTGTTTGAACCCACCACTTGAAGCTATACCAGATGATGACTGGTGAGTAAATTTAGTAGATGACAAACTAAAGCTTAGGTGATTAAAGTTTATTATTCATTTTTAGGGTTCCGTACCCAAAGGGTAAAAACGGGAACCCTATTACTAAGACTTCGCTGTCCGTCCGTCCATCCGTCTATCACAAAGGTCTATCTTATGAACCGTTATAGCTAGACAGTTGAAATTTTCACAGATAATGTATCTATGTTGCCGCTATAAGAACAAATACTAACAACAGAATTAAATAAATGTTTATAAATAAAAAAGTACTTTCACTAAACATTATCTTTTAAGTAAGAATTTTACATAGAATCTTTCAAGTCCTCGATGGCCGCGTGGTTAAAGCGTTAGGACTTTACGCTGCTATGACGTTGGAGCCGTAGTAAGGCAGCAGTGGGATTCTGTAAGCTCCGTAGCAAGAAATTTCTTGCCTAGCCTATGTTATTTGTATACGATTGATGAGTCACTAGACAGGAAATATGTTTACAGAATCGCACCCCAGGTTCGAATCCTAGTCAAGGCCACTTTTTTTTAATCGTTTTTTTTTTAATTTTTACATATTTATTTTTACTTTTTACATATTTATTATTAATTAATACAATTTTTAGTAATGTGTCTCTTCATTTTTTTTTAAATTATTTATACGCGCATTCAAAATTTCAGCTAAATCGGAAAAAAAGTTTATAATAATATGGTGTCTAATGTTGTATAGATAATGAGTGGTACGGAACCCTTCGTGCGTGAGTCCGACTCGCACTTGACCAATTTTTTATTCATATAAATTGTTCTGTTTTTAACAATTTTATTTTTGTAGGTATTGCCCTCAGTGCAAAACAGATGACTCAGAAATAGTAAAGCCAGGAGAAAAACTGAAGAAAAGCAAGAAAAAGCAGAACATGCCTAGCCAGGTGAAAGACACAAAGCGAGATTGGGGCAAGGGAATGGCTTGTGTTGGCCTGACAAAACGCAACGATAAAGTATCCAAAACACATGTTGGAGCGATTCCAGGCGTGGAAGTTGGTTTCTGCTGGAAGTTTAGACATGGGGTAAGTTTTTAACATAAAAAGAGAATTTATTCAAAGAAAACAAAGTCACAGATAAAGGCGCGCGGAATGCGTGTTTATTATATTATTATATAATTGAACAACAAACATAAAGACTGTTCAGCCATTGTTCACTGTTATGTCATCATTAATAATTGTCAAATATGAGTTTTAGGGTGTGTCTGAGATCAATTCATATTGTTTAGAAAATTTTAAGCGAGTTCCGTTTTTTTTTTCGGCATTTACTCATTTTTTCTTCAACTCTTTTCATCAGTTACACAGTGGCGACTCGTGGGTATAAAATTAGGTGAAGAATTCATTTTTTTTAAATTGCAAATTTTGAAAAATTAATTTTTTTGGCGCATTCACCATTTTGTCAACATTTTTTTAAAATATTTGAAAATTTTTTGCTGCGTTCACCATTTTGTCAACATTTTATTTTGTTATTATTTATACACAAATACCTATAATATTTTCGTTTTAGTTTGGGCTAAAACACATTAAGTAAAAAGAGATACAACCAGTTTCAACATTATATACAGTGTCCACCATAAAGTTGGATCCATATAGACGTTTTTTTATATTAGAGTTTTAAAAATTTTTTTTTTGTGGCAATCACTTCTGTATTGAAAAAAACTTTAAATGCACCTAGTCAAAGTTGAAAGCTAACATCAAATACAAAATATTTAAAAGAAATTTTTAAAAATTGGTTAAATTATTATTATTTTAAAAAATGTGACTAACAAAATTATGTTTCAACTTTGACTTGGTGCATTTTAAGTTGTTTTTAAAGCAGAATTGATTGTCACAAAAAGTTTCTTTTAACTCTAATACCAAAAAAACCGTCCATATGGATCCAACTTTATGGCGAACACTGTAATTATTGAATGGCTTCCCCGAAAAACGTTGTAACCGACATTTTTTTTCAAAATAGAGATTTCAGTGAAATAAGGTTGTAATTTTCGTAGGTATAACGGTTTTTCCTCGGCTTTCTCACTGAAATTTCGATATTGAAAAAATTGTTGGTTACAATGGAGGAGCCATTCAAATATTATTCAATTACTACATTAATTATTATTACATTAATGTTTACTAAACAATATTAACCAAAATAAATTTAACTTATTTTATATTACTAACCTTACTAATTTTTGTATATCAGCTCAATTTTTCTGTTCTTTATTGATGCAAACTTATCGGTAATATCGTCATTTAATTAATTAATTATATTCATTAAGGTCTATTTAAATGAACATTGTCATTAAAATTAAGCTTATAGAGTCTAGCGTTTTTTTCTAAAGCATTGGCTATTGTATTTTGATTTTTTTAAATTTCTTAGCCATTAACTGACATTTTAAATATTCTGCAGAATCCCCGTGTTTATGCAAAGATCTTCTTATATTTACGAAATCAGTGAACCCTTCTTTATTCCAAATGCCATGTTTATTAGAAAATAGTAAACACGACCAACAAAACAATTTTTGTAAAACAATGCTACTACATAGCCAATTAAAATCAGAAAACCAGGAAGACTTAAATTTAATATTATAAGATTTACCACTTTTTCTTATTTCTTTTTTGCAATTTATTGTTAAAGTTTCAGTTGGTCGCCCTTGAGATAAAACATCCCTCTTATCTTCATCTGTCCACCGTCTGAAGGGAGTTTCCAATAAATTGCACACCAAGTCATTAATTGGGTTCATTTTTTACACATACACACACACAAAGCAGTTTTAAAACACAACAATAACACAAACAGCAAAAATTAACAAGTTAAATCAACAAAAACCATTAACAAACAACAATAAATAATCAACAACAACTTTACAGTCTTTACACGGTTAATTACTCGCGGAAGTAGCCGAATATTAGCATAAATGCATAAATTATGCGCCACGCCACACAGAGGGGATTTTTTCCAAATTCGTGGTCAAAATTTAAAATTCTGAAATGAGCAATATTCTCATAATTAATATTTGAAACGACAGGCAACATATCTATCTATTAAGCTAAAAAAAAATTATTATAAATTTTTACCGTATTCTCTAGTTACGTTGATCCAAAGTTAGCTTTGGCAAGACAAAATGTTATGCTGGCTGTCATTACTTAAATTTTCGTTATTAATGACGTTTGGTTTTATGTGTTTCCAATAATTTTTTGCGAAAAGTGAAACATGGATTGTGTACCTTTATGTATGTAGAATAATATAATATTTTACTTAGTAGTACTTTAAAAATGCATATATAAACTTTTATTGGTTTTGTTTTCTATTGTTCAAAATGAAAAAAGAAAAAATTAAGCGTTCATTCGGTTAAGCATTTGGTACCCTATTAATGTGTATTAAGCTCAATGCTTTTCACTGTCTTATTTATCAATGCTTAATCTTATTATCTGTGTTAAAAGTGACTGCTAGTTTTTGCTAATCTGTTCAAAATAACAGATTTTTGGCTCTAAACGTAATGTGAAATCTACTTATATAATAGAATAAACTGTCTCACACACACACACACACTAACAGCCACTTGCATCAACATTTCTTTTAAGAGACCGTTATGTTAAGGGTCTTTTAAGTGCCATTTTAACACTGATTGATGACCTGTACGTCACGTCAAATAAATGGAACCTTTAAATTTAATTGTCCTTTAGTTAACGGACACTTAAAAAAATGTCTGTGAAAGTGACTGTAAGTGACGGATATAGGCACATATCAATGCACAGCTTAAACCTCTGGGTCTAGAGACTCGAAATTTTGCACACAGGTTTCTTATACAAAGTAGGCGAACAATAAGAAAGAATTTTATAAAACTTGAATTTAAAAGGGTTGTAACTATCCTTTCAATATTGAAATGTTTTTTATTTAAGAAACCACTGGTTTCGCGACAAAATGCTTGAACACGTATTTTTATTTTTGTTTTTGACATACGAAGATATTTTTTTCCACAACGATTGTCCCATAGGGGGTGAATACAACCCCCTTTTCATCAAGCTGAAACAAATGGGAGTAAAAAGCTGAATTTTGGCTTACGTATAGATTGTTAGGTGTAGAGGTTCAATAAGTAGGGTATTTTTCAAAACCCAAATTTTAAGGGATGAACCTCTTAAATATTTTTTATTTAAAAAACTATTGATTTTGGTGAAAAGCGATAGAAAATACGTGTTCAACCATTTTTCTGCAAAATTAACCAATTTTTAAAATAAAACATATTTTAGGGGTTGTACACTCCCTTAAAATTTATATGTAATGAAAATGAAAACATAAGAACAATTTGCAAAAAATACATGTTTAAAGATGAAAACTACTGAATATTTTCTTCTAACAATTAATATTACCTCTGTTTCGAACTTTGCAATTTTTTGTCACCCTGTATAGCATCAAAGTGTATAATAGACATTTTCTTAGTAAATATGACTCACTTTTAATGTAAATACTAGTTTCGAAAAGAAATAGTAAGTTTATGCTACAAAAATCATTTTGGCCACGAATTTGGAAAAAATCCCCTCTGTGCGCCACCCGCCGTTACGCATTTCCTGAACAACTAAGTTGAAAGTTTGAAGGAAGACGAAGAGAACTGCCCAAAACCCAAAAACTCATTCAATCGGTCACCGATAATAAATTTCGGGGGGATTTACATCTGCCGCTAGGCTGACGTCACGTTACTATGGAAACCGTGTAGCCGCTTGGCTCAGAAATGCAAACATTTTCACTTGCATTTCTGGCTTGTAGGTGCGTGCGGGCCTATTATGCTACTTTTTCGGCCGGAATTAACGATGCGGTGGACCTATTATGCAGAGGTCCGCCCGGAAAAAAATAAATATCTTATAATAAATTACCATTTTATTATTTAGATACATGTAAATATATTAAACTAAATTAATATTTTAAGCAATAAAGTTTTTTCTTTAATTTGAGTATTTTTTTTGGTGAAGTGTCCCTTCACCTACTGCACCTGACGAGCCGCCACTGAGTTACAATTTACAATCCCTTTAATTCCAGTCCTTTGGACTGTTGAAGTTCCTATTTCTAAAGTACCAGCAACTCGCTATATTATTTAAAAACGCTATCAATTTCTATTTTACATAGGAATATTACACCTTTGCATTGTACTTACTTCATTTACGGCGTCAATGGACAAGAGTGTTCTACCAGCGTCTCTTACTCGAGAAAAATAATTTATAAGCTTAGCAATGAGCTCTTGTTCATTTTGGTGAAATCTTTGATGCATTTTTGTAATAAAAAAATTTGAATTTTATTTCCAGCAACAATCAAATTTTAATTTTGACATTGATCGATGCCCATCAATAAAATTATAGCCCCAAATCAAACGACAATGACAATTACTAAAAAGAATATGCAGTAATTTACGAAATGTCGTAATGTCTTCATCATTGTCATTCATGTTGGTGGCAAGTGATTGAGAGAGTTCGACAATATATGACGTGATGTTGAACGATGGCTGAACATTCTATACAATGCGGAGCGTCGAAAAACCGACAGATGGTCCGCGGCAAGCGGTTTGCGCGCAGCTTGAAAACACGTATCAACACGCAACTAATGTATACGCACTTTTAAATAAAGAAGTTTCAACATTTACATTGCATTATTCTATGATATTGCAATAAAAAATTTGTTGTTGAAAGAAGTGACCTACTATTTTCATTTAATTCATTATTAGGTTGCCGAATCAGGTGTTCATCGACCGCCTGTAGCAGGAATACATGGACAAGAATCCGACTGCGCATACAGCATCGTATTATCTGGCGGTTACGAGGACGATATAGACTACGGCAACGAGTTTTTTTACACCGGTTCGGGAGGAAGAGATTTATCAGGTAACAAGCGCACAAGTAACCAGAGCTTCGACCAAGAGCTGACCAGAACAAACAAGTAAGTTGTATGCTTTGAATAAAAAGATTAAGGAAGCATAGATAAAAGAAACAAGTTTAGATTTGAAAGTGCCCATAAGGACAATGTAAATACCGTATAATCGAATAAAAACGGCGTCAGCGATGGCTATGAAATGAAAATCGCTGTCATTTTATATGTAAAATTATATGGGAAATGTCATCGATCGTCATTTCCAAGCAAACTGGACGACGTTTTTTTTTCGATCATACGGTACTATTTGGCACTATTCTTGCAACGGTCCCGACCCAAAGCTTTTGATAATTTCGGAGCGGTTCGGCTTTTTCCGGAATTATGTCGCCAAATATATTGTTTATTCAAATTTATTATTATTTTCTTTTAATTTTATATTGTCACGTTCTCGTTCAAAATAGTTTATCAGAACGGCTACAAGCTCTTTGCTTCGACTGCTTAAATGCTCCGGCATATTTTCAACACATAATTTCAAGAAATGCAATTCAAAAACTCGAAAATTTAGTTCTTAAAAGAGCAATTTTTAAAAAAAAGACTATGAAAATAGGCCAAAAACAAGAATTACTCACAAAAAATTCAACAACAACACGATATTAAACAATATAATCACTGACATTATGGTAATTGTCAAATAATAAACGACAACGTTGCTGAACACGGCGCAATGTGATCAACATAGCGATAATAAAATTTGGTTTAAACTAATTTTTGCAGCTTTAATCTAAATAAAATACAATCATTTGCTCTATAAAGTAAAATGAAGAGCTGCTCGGTATCTTAAATTATACAACAAATTTAAACTTTTTTGCCAAAATTTCATTTACTCAGGTTTATAGGCTTTAGTGTAATTTTGATATGATTGATGATGTGCATCGGAAAATGTTTTGCGATTACCGTATATATGCATCGAAGTTATACGTGTTCCTGTTTACTTTTATTTACCAAATCATTTTATAACAGGGCCTTAGCGTTGAATTGCAACGCGCCTTTCAACGACAAAGAGGGTGCAGAAGCCACGGACTGGAAATCCGGCAAACCCGTACGTGTAGTGAGAAGTTACAAGTTAGCGAAACATTCCAAGTATGCTCCGGAGGATGGTTATAGATATGACGGCCTCTATAAGGTCGTTAAGTATTATCCAGAAAAAGGAAAGTCTGGATTTATGGTCTGGAGGTACTTTTTGAGGAGGGACGACCCAGCTCTGGCACCATGGGAAGAGAATGCCAAACAGTATGAGATGATTGTAAGTTTTATGGAGATTTGTTCTACTTGTTAAAACAGTTACTAGTGATGGGATCACTCGAGTGAAAAATACTCGGTCATCCGAGTATTCATATCCTCGGTATGTCTCGAGTATTTTTGTCGATTCTCGAGGATTACTCGGCACGCAACTAACATCGGGTGTGAATGAATGCTGAAACTTTTTTTACAGAGGACAGAGGATAACCATTTAATCACTTGCTCGCATATCGCTCGCAATAATAGTCGGTTTTCAGAGTAGTAACCTGCATTTTTGAACAGAAATACATTACTTATTTTTGTTTTGTTTTTGTTTAGATAGATAGGATATATTAATTATAATATTTATTTAAATTATAAAGATTTTTTCTGCATACTTTATATTTTAAGATTTATAGTTTTTTAACCATTGATATAATAATATAATGTTATTTTTTCTGTGTAATAATTCAGAATTGAAAGATCTGAAAATTCATAATACGTCAGTTTTCGACTTTCAAAATTCCATTTGACAAAACCACAGTTGTTTATTTGGGTTAAGGCTTTGGAGATTTTGCTTTATTTGCATTTTTAATTTTCAATTTACGTGCTTTCTTGTAAAAAAAACCTTTGCTTGTAGTTGTACGTTGGGAGACTATATTCTGATGAAAGTATAATCGAAATTTAGTGTGATGGAACGTAGATATAAAGTGAATGATTTGCGGAATTTGCCAACAAGAACAATAACAATATTGCTGTATATTTTATTTCATTTTTTTTCAAACAGTTTTTAAAGCGACAGCTGACTCGTTGTAACCTTAGGCTCGGCCTTAAGTAAAATTTTATTAGTTAATATTTTTCTATTATGAAGGTTCACAAGAGAAAGAGATTGAAAATCCGAAACAATCATCATTAACAATTTTTTTTCGATTATTAGTTAAGCTGTGCCCAAACAATACAGTTGGTAAATTCAATTTTAAAACTGGATATTATGTCGCACAAAAACTTAAAATATGCACAATAACACAATACTACTACAATTTATTAGGTCCTACAGTTTATTTTCGGTGAAAGTACGCTATTAAAAAGTAAAACAAAATATATTTTTTATCTCAATGACCGACCGCCGACAAATAAACAATAAATTAGAAGCCCTTTTTAAAAAGCCGCACGTATTTCCTAGAATTAGTTGGTTTCATTTGGCCCGAAAATGTGCTGACCGGTTTCCAGATTAGCCTCAAAGTCGGAGTTAAAGAAACAAAATCACCACAATTTAAAGCAAAACCTATGAAAATTTTATTTCCCACATGAAATTATACACGAACATATTAAAAATTATAAAAAAAGTGTTTAAAATAATTAGTATTTATTTTTATTACATTATTTAAGTCATTCAAGTACATGGCAACAGTGTGTTAAAAACAGCAAGCAAAATCACTCACACCCAGCGGCGAGTATTATTCAGGTGTCGATCGAGATATTATACAGAGAAAATTTTATGACCGAGGATTCCTCGTATGATCATTCGATTATTGGAATCCTCGAGGATTGAATTCATCCGATTTTTCCCAACACTAACAGTTACAATTGGTTGATACTCCATATTTGCGGTAGATAACCTATATTTAATCTTTGCTACTTTTGGAGTGCCAAAAAGTTTGCAATAAATGTGAAATTATAATATATATTCAATACCAATTAAATTTTTTGTTACGTAAACGAGGACGCAATTTTTAAATTCATTGTTGCCAACCACGGAATAAAATTGTTGCAAACTTTTTGGCTCACCCTGTATTAACCATTTAAAATATTTCTATAGTTTTTATTTCTTTCTTTAGTACCCCGAAGGGTACCTAGCTTTTGAGGAAGCTAAGAAGAAGAAAGAAGAGACAGAAAACAAGAAAATAACGGCATCGAAAAAATCGTCACCGAAAAAAGGACATAAAAGAAAAACCACTAGCGGCCCGTTAGACAACCTACTCAATAAGAAAAAGAAAGTAGAAGTTTTCAAAATTGACAGTGCTATAGAAAAGGCTATAAAGGAGGATACAGTGAATGAAAAATTATGGATTGAGTGTAAGTCAGCAGTTAAGAATGGAAAGAAGGCATTTCTGGATAAGGTTGAAGAGATTTTCCAATGCATCATATGCATCGAGCTTGTATTTAATCCAGTGACGCTCAAATGTCGACACAATTTATGTCAGGTAACTATTTATCAGTTTTTTAATCTGTATCACTCTATAATGCGTGTATAGTAACGCCACGAACGTTTGGGAGTGATTCATCGGTCGCTACCATGTGAACTAATCTGTTCAAGGTCACATAAAACTTAATTCCAGTGCCGTGGTGTTTCAAGTCATATAATAATCAATATATAATCTGTTGTAATTTGTTGTTTTAACTGTCAAAGTTTTGTCAAAACATATATTTGGTTATAAATCATAGATAAAAGAAAATAATCTACTATTAAGATAGATATGAAACTTAATAGTAAAATTTTGGGTCAAAGCGCCCCTCCGTGTTTTTAGTGGAGACTACGTTTAACCCAGCGCCTTCGCCTTTTCTGCTGTAAATGTTTTTTATGTTTATATTTGAATTCAAAGGATTTATTTTTAAAGTTACACTAATATATTAGTATATCAGAGTAACTTTAATAAATCATAAGAATATATATATTTTACAATTTATTTTACAGTTTCATGTAAATGATCGGAAGTCGACTGGCTGTCTAATGAATAGACCGAGATTTATAGATTTTAAAGCGAACGAAAAAAATCAAACAATGAATACATACCATATATTTTTCTTTTATCTAAGATACATACTTTATCGTCTTTTGGAAACACGTACATTTTTGCAGTTTTGTTAGTTTCTTTGCAAGATGCAACACAACAACAAAACACCATTTTTACAGTTAATAAATAATAAAACTATTTCTGACTATGATATTTAAAATTTAGATAGATAGGAAATTAAAAAAACAAACCAGTATTTGCAAACGCGGGCCCAAATTCAATAAAAATCAAAATTTTTCCTGCGAAAATCAGGCTTTTTTCACTGAAAAGGTATTATTTGATTTATCAGCAGTCATTGTCAAGTTGACAATAGGTATACAGGGTGTTTTCGAATTAGTCTAAAAAAATTATGGTGTGATTCCTCATGTGTTCTTAAAACAATTTTTATATAACCATTAGGTCTAAAGTACTTCCTTTCTGATCTACAGGGTGTTAAAAATTAAAAAAAAAACGATTTTTTTGCTTAACATAAATGGTATACCACTGCTTTTTTAAAGAAAATATATTTTTTTCTTGACTGGCCAACCTTTTTCAACAAAATTGATCTTTTGAGTTTTTCTTGTTCATCAAACGGTTGCCGAGAAAAAAATAAATATACTTATTAAGAGCCCGCCTTAATTCGTTTTCTAACGATTTTATATTTTTTAGATTAATTAGGAAACACCCTGTATATGCATATCACAGGCAACCAAATAAATTAGTAACCTCTAAAAATTATTTTTCCTACCACTAGCGACATACCGTGTTTTTAGTGTGTACTAAATTATTTTATCAAAATTTTACCATATAAGTTTCCAGGCAATGGTTATAAATATATAATAAAATGGAATTCCCCATAGGTAATGCAATTCCCTTCATCAAGCGATGAATCACTCCCAAACATTCGTGGCGTTTACTATATAGTCAAAGGAAAGTCAAATAACTATTTTTATATTCATACATTACTTACTGCTATATATGCTGAGTATTCATACATTAGAGAGTCCTTTAGTTTTTTCTTCTGTTATTCTTTATGGGATCTAATATTTGACGTATTATTTTTTTCAGATATGCTTAAAAGAATCTTTCAAACATTCCGAATCCGACAGTTATTTTTGTCCTCACTGTAGAGAAAGTCTGGACAAATCAGAAGCGACTGGAAAATTACCAAGGAACGAAAAGTTGAGCGTAGCTCTAAATTTACTATTCCCAGGTTATGGTACAAAGTAGAAATTAGGTAGAATGTAGCATTTTATTCAATTTATATAAATTTTGACTTATATTTACATAATTTTAATCTCTCTTGTTTTATTTAACGTAATAAGGTATTAATTAATTTTAAACGTCTCTATAATGAAGATTAATTTTAAAAAATTCCACTAATTGAATTTTAAGGAGATAGTATAGGTAATATATAAAATAATTTTAGATTGTTTTTATTAGGTAAGCTAACTAATTTAAAAAGACATGTTAATTTTAATAAATCGGCCGACATTGTATTTTATCAAATAGTATATTTTTTAATAAATAAAAGTAATTTTCCTTTACATTGAGTTTATATAATTACCTAAAATGTCTCACTAAATAATTATTCCTCTTGACTGGTAAATTCAAATATATTTTTATTTAAATTATTGACTTTTGAGCGCAATAAAATTATGGACTCTTTATACAGGGTATGCCAAAAAGTATGCAATAAATTTACCATTACAAAATCCTCTTTACATAATATGCAAAAAGTATGTTTCACAAATATATACCATGTACTGAGACTTTGAAAAAATATCAGCCGTCATGACAATTGTCACTCGGCATATGTCAAAATTATTTATTTTTGGGTATGCTGAAAACAGTGCGCCTAAGCATTTGTTGTGAACTTTTTGGCACATCCTGTATATGAATTTTAATAGATCAACTGAACAAGATTTTATCTAATAAATTAAGGTCTATGGTATTGCCTTAATTTTTTTTAAGTGTAATATAATAGAATCAATAATACTGATATTTGATGATATCGAGAGTCTAAAGTTTGATTAGATGAAAATCAAAACTTACATTATAAGGTCTTACACTGTGTCAAAATAGACAGATATGAAAATGTAATATCACCATTCCTTAAATAAAGTTTATTATTTGTAAGTACATTAACAAGCATGTTTATTTACAATATATATTTATTAACAAAAAGGACTTCAATCATAAAATCTAATTAAGATACAGTAGTTGAAACGTATCATATACAAAAATGCCTTATTATTTTTAGATTTTTGAAAAAAAAAGGAAATGTATTCCAAAAACTTCAGAGGGCAAAACTGTCATACAGATTCATAAAAATATAGTTTGTTCAGTTCAGGCATATTAATACCAATAAAGCATACTTAAGACGTACAAACTACTTTACAGTTACTTACAATAGTTGAATATTTTAGTTTTATACATGCAATTCAAATATGATTTATTGCTAGAAAACTGAGGAATGTCCGTACCTATATGTCTTTTGGTATAACGCGTGCGCGCATCTTGGCAAGTACACACTGATAGTTATCACATAAAGGTTTGATTTATCACAATAAAAGTTATACTCCGTCATATTTCAACGTAGAATCTTCTTTGTCTACGGGCGGCGGAGCTATGTGGACGCTGTTACTAGGACCTTGGGTTAGATAGCCTGCTGATGATGGCACACCTGAAACACAAAATCACATTCGCAACTATATTAATATTGGTTGCCTAAAAATTCAAATTCGCAGATAGAAATTTAAGTCACCTTTGTATACTTGTATTCATTTAAAACTTCCCAATATGGCGGACTTCAGTATGGGAGGCTTAAAAAACTAAAATCTCTAGACTAATTACCTCTTTACCTCTTACCTTTATATTATATACCTCTACTGCAAGAAATTTGTTTTCTATTTTTATAATTTGGCTTGCCTGAAAAAAAGCCTTTTACCATCCTTTTACTATCGATAGTTGCGCCTCGGTGGTACGAAAGTACTACCATTGCACGCAGGCCGCTATCTCCCGTTCGGGACTTAATATCTAACCGATACTTTCCGACAAGTCGGAATTAACTATCTCTGCGCTGTGGTTGTCATTTTGTTGATCTCCCAAGCTCACCTGATGATGGAGTAGGGCTCCGAACCCGGTAGTGAGAACAGGTTGATCCGCATTATGACAAACACAGCGTAGAATTAAATTTCTATATTAGCAGTTAAGTGGCAAGAATCCTTATATAATTTTATTATATACCTCTACTGCAAGAAATTTGTTTTCTATTTTTATAATTTGGCTTGCCTGAAAAAAAGCCTTTTACCATCCTTTTACTATCGATAGTTGCGCCTCGGTGGTACGAAAGTACTACCATTGCACGCAGGCCGCTATCTCCCGTTCGGGACTTAATATCTAACCGATACTTTCCGACAAGTCGGAATTAACTATCTCTGCGCTGGTGGTTGTCATTTTGTGGATCTCCCAAGCTCACCTGATAATGGAGTAGGGCTCTGAAACCGGTAGTGAGAGCAGGTTGATCCGCATTATGACAAACACAGCGTAGAATTAAATTTCTATATTAGCAGTTAAGTGGCAAGAATCCTTATATAATTTTATTAATTTAGAAAGGTAATCGCAAAATGCGATTGCGATTTTAGAATAGTTGCGATCACATCGCAGTTCTAATAGTAAGCGAGGATTTTAGGGTCTAAATTCTGAACACCTGCACCGATTGACGTGAAATGTTAACAGTGGATATGATCAACACCTCAATGGTCACCTAATTTTTTCGGAAAAAAATTAACATAAAATCTATGACTAAAATCATAAAAATAAAAACTAAGCGTAATACATGTACAGTTGGCTGAATTTAGGTACTAACAATGGGCTCTGCAAGTTCGAGCGGTTTAGAATGCCTAAATTTGGAAAAAAGTTGAAAATAATTTTATTTTGTTTTTTTTCAAATTTAATTTTTTTGTCATATCTCAAAAACTAAACAAAATACGTAAAAAATGCAACAGAGTAAAATTGAAGGTCTATTTTTTTGCAATATTTTTGCTCTCTTTCAATTTTTCTGTAGATTTCTTTATTACGTTTTTTTAGTTTGACTTGCGTGTAAGGACCACCTTCTTTGAGCCCTTAAAACCCAAAAGTCTCGTAAAAATGAGTTCAAGACTATTCAACTATAGAGGTTATTTTGTAGCTCGTGTAATTTCCTACAAATTGATAGTTTTTATTTTTATGATTTTAGTCATAGATTTTGGTTTGGATATTCATTTTCTTCGAAAAATGTGTTCTTTCGCCATTATTTTACAGTAAAAGGTTGCAATTTAGTTTTCGAAAAATAAAAAATCGCCTTTACAGAGTGATAACTCGGCTATTATTACACCTACGGTAATCAACAAAAAATGAATCGATTCGTTATTTCAAAAGCTTTATATGAGTTTTGCGATAAAACGCAAGGTTTTCGAGTTATTTATAAAAAATGGCAGAAAAATATGCAGTTTTTAGATGAAAAATCGACATTTTTCAATCCTAAATAACTCGGAAAATATTAATTTTCTGAAAAAAAATGTTATAGGACATTTTTTGGTTAGAATTATGTGCATTATATTACATACTATTTAAATGGGTGATTTATTTTTTACCCACGAGAAGGACACTCACCCCCAGGGTGAGAGCACACATCGCTACTATGTAACTTTTGTTTCATCCATATATCTTTGTTCGCTGTTAAAATTTCACATCAATCGGTGCGGGTGTCAAGAATTCGGAGGTAATACCCTATTTTTATCCTGGCTTACTGGCCTATAAATATTACTGCATTTTTGAAAAATCCTATCGCTGCACATAATCCTACATTATTATTAAATTTGTTATAATGTTTTTTGTAGCATTCAAATTATGTCCCTTAATCATAACTATGTTAGATTTTTACTACAATTGGTCTACCTGTAGTAAATGTATGGTATATTTGAATTTCACAAGCAACAACTGATTTTGTACATAATATCTCTTACCCGTCAAATATCCGGCTACGTTCGAACTACCGATAAACAAATCGTGCTTCTGATCCTTGTACTCGGCCCACACGCTGCTCTTCTCCAAAACTGCGTTCACCCTGTCCCCATACAGCAAGCTCCTGCCCATCGACTTGAGCGCTTTCACGATTTGGGCCTTGGTCATCGCGGGGTTCTCGATCAGCTCCAGCCGCGCCTCCAGTAAGCCGAGGAGGAAGGGGATGAAGTCGACGTCCAGCGCTTGCTTGACCAGCTGGTCCTGGCTGTTGGAGAAGAGACGACTGAGGGCTTCGCACGCGACGGACGTCATGTCCTTTCGGACCTGCATCGCGTGCTTGAGGGTGTACATGCAGTCGGTCTGGGCTATAGCGCTGACGCATATCTGAAGAAGAGAGAAAGAAAAATGATTATTTTACCCTTTATAAGTTGATGGTCGCTAAATCGACCACTTTAATTTAATCAACTAATCAGTCGCGGGGAAGTGTATCATAGTAGAAGGAAAAAAGTAGTTACACTCTCCCAAATATTTTCTGCCAGTTTTTACAATCTGTCGAATATCGGCAGATTGCAGAGCGTTTCAGTTGAGTTCCGTCCGTCGACCTGCGAGGTTCGAGCGTTACGTCCCCCCAGCACAGAGACGGATTGACAAAAAATGAGTGCCTTACTGTGTGCTGCTATTGGTTGTAGTAATAATTTAAAAAATTGTGCTTTGTGTTTTTTTTGAGAGTCATTTATGATCATGTTTGTGTTCAGGTTAATTTTCTCATGACTGATTACTACTTAATAATTTAATATTATTTTCATTTAAACCTCAATTTTTTATCGATTTTACTTTTGACAACCATCCATTGCTTGCTGTTTAACGAACAAACGTTCCCAAAAAAAATCTTTACTCGACATCTGTCAAATTAAAAAGAGAAAGTTTAGAGGAGAGTATTACTCAATTTATTAGAAAACCCCTTTTAATTCAAAAGTAGATCATTTTTTAGATGTATGTCATTTCTTAGATGCAGTCTGTTCTTCTCGTCGCTGGAAAGGCATATTTTATGAAGGGTATTGTAAAAAAATTCTTCCTTAGAATAACTTAACCGCCCTAACAAGGCTATTAAAAACAAAGTAATCGGAAAACAATTTCCGATGCACGTGATCAACTTTGAGTGACAAGCGATGGCGACAACGCTGCCAGATTGTGATGGATTTATGAGATGAATCTTAATGTAAAATTGAGAAACAATATATTTATATATCATTTTTTAAAGATTTTTACGTTTTATTTTTAATTTAATAATTAGTATTTTAGTAATTAATTTATTTCTTAACAGTAGTCACAATAGCAATATTAAAATTTAAGGCAGCAGCTCCTCGCTACAAATCGAAATAAGTAGAAATAACTTTGAAAGTGGTATAATGTTGTAAAGTTTTTAGTTCGTTGCATGTCTTTCATATATAATATATGATGTCTGGCGTATCATCACCGGGTTCCCTATCTCTCAGGCCTGATAATTTACTTAACGCGCCGGGCGTAATTTTTACGTTCTCTAGTCAACAACCCTGTTATCGTATCACTGCTTCTGTGGAGGGCTGTCAAGATCGTTTCAAGGCGCCTCACGGTAGGGTATTAGCATGAAAAAGGTGGTCGAAATTCGAAAAAGCAAAACTGTTAAGATTTCCCAAAATAGATAAATGATAAGTTAAATCATGTCTGCCATGAATGGCGTTGCTATGGGTGTGTTTAGTTGCATTCATTTGTTTCAACGAAACGTCAAAGTTGTTACTTCTCACAGATAAGAGGTAAATGGCTAAATTTTATGTTTAAAATTATAAATTGTTCTTGTTCTTGTGCTCTTTTTACGTTATATTATTGTTTTGATTTAAAATGGCTCAGCAAGCTGCAGGTATGTATTCTACAAAAACGTATTATTTATTTTGATATTCCCTATACTAACAATTTTTTTTGCAACTAAAAGTTAGGCGTTCAGAAAATCTGATTAAATTTGTGACATTTTTATTATACTTAGAGATTTAGTTGCGCATTTCGAAGAATTCAGCATATTGTCTATATACGTTTTACTTAGTAAACATTGGGCTTTCATACAGTAAAATAAAATACTGCGACTTTTTGCGACTTTGCTGATAAAATGAGAAAAACATTCTTGGTTTCCTCTAATTTGCCAATCAGTGATATACTAATGCGAGGTGTAAACCGCGATGGCATTGTTGTGTACAAAGCGATCGCCTTAGTGCCATTAGCAGTATAGTACAATTTGGCATTAGTAGCGACTTTAGTGGTATGGGCATTGCTCGCGGATCAGTTGTAGCATTAGTAGTATTAGTTGCGATATTACTACTGGCATTAGTGGCATTGACCGTGGAAACACTGGAACAGTGATTTTTCTTTCTTTTTTTAGAATCGACGAATTATCCTTTATTTTGTTTGAAAATAAAGGATAATTTGCTGCTTCTTTCCTATTTCTAAGCCTAGTCATTAGTCACGGCTGTATTGGTTCATGGTGTCCTCACCCTGGCTCTTTTTGTTGCACTGGCCCAGAGACAGTACAGAGATGCGAGCCCACCTCACGCTGTTACTGTTTGAAGCATGATTACATAAAGAACAGCTAAGTGTAGATTTAAGTTCTAGTTTTTAGTCAATTTTCAGTCTTAACATAATAACGTACATTTTAAATAATATCGTACACTATCGACTATGTTTAGTGGTTAGATTATTAAGAACATTTATGTCGATTTAGTAGTTACAATATGATTTAGATCTTAGGTTTCATTACATTACATCTTGTAATAGTATTACTTTCTATAGATATTATTATTGCGCTATATTAACAGATGAATAACCAAACATAGGTTCTAGAATCTACGGGTTGCAACATCTTCGATTTAACATCATATAAAATATATCAAATTAATTAAAGTAATGCTACCTTTTATACATTTTCTATAACTTTTCTATAACTACATGTATGGTATTTTTTTTATAGTCTTTTCATTGAATATATTTAATATTATTTCTAACATAGCTTAACTCGACATATAACCACCTATAATAATTATTAAAATTGTACAATGCTATTTACCATCAGAATACATCATGAATGAATATAGTCACTAGTTTTAAGTAATAAACAACTGTGTTTTATTTCTCTGTTCATGCCTGGCGCCCAATATTTGTATTTTCGATTTATTATTGTTGGTTAGTTTCTTTCCAGTGAAATGCCTTCTCCACGACTGCTCTCCGATGAAAAGCTGCCGTTCGCAGTGGTAGTTGTTTAAAAAACTTACCAATCAAACTTACTGTTTTGACTAGTCAAGGGTAATAAAGGACCTTTATTGTCACGTTCCAGTTTAAAATAGTTTATCAGGAAGCTCCATGCTTCGACTGTTTAAATGCTTCGGCATATTTTCGACACACAAGTTCAAGAAATGCAATACAAAAACTCGAAAATTTAGTTCTTAAAAGAACTGTGTGTGCTTAAAAGTACAATTTGAAAAAAAATACTATGAAAACCGGCAAAAAACGATAATTACTCCCAAAGATTCTACAACACGATATTATACAAAATAATGACTGACGTTATAATTGCCAAATAATAAACGACAACGCTGCTGATCCCGGGGGAATGTGGCCAACATGGCGATAATAAAAATCGCTCTAAACTAATTTTTGCAGCTTTAATCTAAATAAAATATATATTACAACCATTTGCTTTATGAAGTAAAATGAAGAGCGGCTCGTTATCTTAAATTACACAACAAATTTAAACATTTTTGGCAAAATCTCATTTAGTCGGGTTTATAGGCTTTAGTGTTAATTTCGATATGATTGATGACGTGTATATCGGAAAGTGTTTTGCGATTACCGTAAATTGATAGTATACTTACATTGCTCATTGACAAGGAGTTTAAGATCAATATACCCGATTTAGGAACAACAATCTGCTTACTGTTTGACCCCATCTGCCTACACAAACGAGGAATATGACCTAAGGAGGGAATGATATCCAACAGGGCTGGTTGAGTCTGGAGCAAGGCACAGAGAGCACTGGTACCCAATTCGAGCAAAGCTACCTAAAATAGAATGAAAATACTTTAGTATATTTCATGCACCATTAAACTAAAACCTTGGATTATCTTGTAACTACTATAGGTGATTAGAAAATGTTTTTAAGCTAAGGTTAGGTTGGTTTCTACGCATTTCTAACTTCTATATATTGCATACGACTCATACATTTGACTCATATTTTAATATGTTAACTTTAAGTTCTAGTTCCAAACACTTACATTGGGTTTATCTTTGGCCATGTTATCCAAACATGTTTCTAAAAGTTCGGATAGGAATTCTCTTGGTTTTCTTAGAGTCCATGCAGGATTAGCTATGAATATTCTGAGGTATACTCCGCCTACCATTACTTCGTTCGGCACAGCAAACGTACCAAGACCGTTGGTTTCCGGCTTTTTCCACTGTGTAGAAGGATTGGTGCTTTGAGCCGTATAGTGTCTATGAAAATAAGTATTAGTTGTAGCGAGAAAAGAGAAATGTGTTAAAGATTTGATAAATTAGATGAATTTTTTGTCAGTCTATATTATAAAATATTTGCTAAGAGAACTAACAGTGGTTAATTGGAAAAATTTGAAAATATCTTGACTAATATAATCAACTTCAATCAAGTCATCACGTCAATCAAGACTTCGCAACTGGCAAATGAGTACGACAAGGAGACAAATTCATTTTCTTCACTTCCAACTAGAGGTTTCTGCCTAATAGGTTTTTCACATATCACACTAACAGCTCTGCGAAATAGGAAAAGTAGCATTTCAAAAAAACTCTTGTCAAGAAAATTTCTACGTTATCTTTGACCATAAACCCTTCAGGCCAACAAGCAATTGTCCTCACAAAATAGAATCACTGGTAACACATCCATTCCCTCCGTCAGCAGATACTGCTTCATTTTTCTTGATAAAATAGAAATACTTGCTTATTAACCTTATTCTAGGTAAATTAAATAAAAATAACCTGTTATAAATTTAAATAAAGTCCATAAACTAATGTCTATTTTGAAAATAGCTACTAAGTGTCATTAGAAAATTGCCATGGCGACATCAGCCATCTTGATTACAATTTTATTGAAAACCGCTTTTTATTCAAAATTTGAGCAATATAGGTATAGGAAACCCTAATATAGTTTGAAAGAGCATTTAAATCTGCTTCGACTTATTTAAAAGAATACATAGTGTTGTATTGAAGTAACGAAGTTTTTATGTAAAATAAATATTTAAAATAGACCAGCAATTTTTGATACCCCTGTATACATTTACAGAAGCAGTCAAATTTTTCAGTAAAGTTTATTTATCTACCTTTAAACTCAGCACAAGAATTAATTCTGAAAAGTAATGTACAAGGTGTTGACAAACTTTTTTATTAGAGCATGCATATTTAAAAATCTAAATATCTCAAAAACCAAAGCTTTTAAACATATTAAACCCTTATAGTAAATGTCTTATTTTATGTCCAAGAATCCAAAAATGAAATAAAATGCCGGGTGGTCCACAAGAAAAAATATAACTTTGGTATGGATCTTAGTTCTGACACATCCTGTACATTTCAAAATAATTTTAAATTATGCACATTGCCTTCCCATATATACCCATAAAATATTGTGTTTCTACATCTTTCCGTTTTCGTGTAATCTACCCAGTCTGTATATTAATTTCCTGCTATGCGTTCCAGTTGTACCAACTTATTTCATTGTAAAATAAAATAAACTACTTTCAAATTAAAATGACAAACACATCTATCACTGTCAAGGATCTTGTCGTTGGACACACTATACTTACTCGTTTTTAAGCTTCCTAACAATATTGCAGGCCCTGTCTTTGGCTCCCTGGTTCCAAATCAGCTCCGGATGTTCGTGCTCCGTCTCGAACATAGTAATGGAAGTTTCCGGACTGTCACGCATGGCATCCGCAAAAATGGGCGGCAAAAAGGCGTCCACCGCCAGTCTCACTTTAGGCCCCACCAACTTATCCGAGGTCATCCTGGCCAAAAGTTCAGCGGACGACTGTCTGATGTGAGGACTCGACGAGTTACAGAATAAGTCCAGTAAATAGATTACAGCGCCTCTGTTGAGGGCTTCCTTAACTATCTTGGTGTTGGTCATGAGCGCGTGGAGAACTTCGAGGACTTGCGGTTGAAAATCCTCGGTAGAATATAGCGTTAATAGTAGGAAACTAAGAACTTCGCACGCTGCGATGTCATTTATACACTCATTGTTCCTGGTTATGACCGATATAACGTTTAGAGCTTCGGTTTGAATTGCTATAAAGTTAACAGTAAGTAACCTAAATAGTAGTTTAAAATGGCCAATGCACTGAAGCTCTACCCCAGAGTTGTTACGTATGACGTTGGTGAGTGCTTGTAGAGCCATAGAAGAATGTTCCAACGTATCCTTAATCGTGACAGAATAAGCTATATTCATTAAATTAAACAGTGTATCAGACCGTTTTTCGAGGTATGACAGTATATCTATGACAAGACTCTTTGGGTTCTAAAAAAAAACAAAAATTTATTTAAAAATTACTTTATGCAAATAAAGACACAAACCTGTATTTGAAAGGTAGGTTGTTCATTGTATATCCTGATAAATATGCCTCCGATGGTTAGTTCGTTACAGTGTGCCGAATATTTAAATATGTCCGCTACATTAAGGTCTATATCACCTCTATGTGAGATTTGTGTTTCGAGAAAATCGTTTAGCTCTGCTCTGGTACCGTTGTCCCATATTAAGTAAGGCGTTTCGCTGTTAGAGTTGAGAATTTTCAGAATCTAAAACAAAAATGTTACTGTTGTATTTCAAATCTCTTATTACAGCTGTATATATTTTATATAGCTTAGATGTATAGATATAGCTAAGATGGCCGATTTAAATTCCAGTTTATCAATGCCGTTCTAATTTTATTTTTAATAATTTGTTCTATTCCACGTTGTCAATAAATGTTGGTAGTTATTAAAATATATAAATAATAGCTCCCGTATATAGCGTTTAACGCCTTGAGAGTAGCAAGGTACAGCTTGCCATGGTAGAGACGTTCAGTATACAAGGAATGTAATGTGGCTAGCACTACGCTTCAACCGCCTATTATTACCTCAGGATTGTGAAACCCAAGTACTCATTTAAGGCTGAGTCGACCTAGGTACCCAAAACTATTTTATTTTTAATATACTCCTTCCTTAATCTTTTTATTCAAAGCATTGGCATAGAAAAATACTGTTTCAGATTGAGCCTTCCTATGTCTAGAAATATTTTTTTGGAACAAACATTTCGTAAAAGATTTGACGCTATTTGTGTTTCAATTTGTATAACTTTTTCAGCATAGATATGCTGATAATGTCACTGTGATTATATTTCAAAAATAACTAAAACACGTGAAGCTTACCTCTTCTGGACTACTACTTATCATCTGATTAACGACGTATTGCGTCAGAAGCGTCCTCAAAATTCCCATAATCAGCTCGTTCTTAGGCGCACCGTTCTCGACATTGCTCAAACCGGCCAGCGAAACGCAAGCCTTGACGGCCTCTTTGGCTAACCTGTTGCTGATTTCTTGCTCGTTAGTTTCTTCGTTCTTCTCTACGCCGCCTTCTTCTAGAGTGAAGTCGTACTTGAAGATAAATAATAACAGGTGCCAGAGGGCTCCTGCTTTAAGTAGTTCTAATTGGAGGATAGGATCTGCTGCTAAAGCCTTGATGCACTCGGTGGCCACCGAGCACAACTTGATTAAATGCTATAATTAAGAAATAATGAAAAAATTAAATAGTTAATAAATAAATAAATAAATACCCTTATTAAAGGTAAAATAAACAAACAAAGTAAACAAACAAACAAAAGAGAATACAAAACAATATACAAATAACATTGTTAGTCTTATTGTTTAAGATAAACATTTATAAATGTTTCCAATGTCAAAGAATAAAAAAATAAAAATAAGATTCAAAAATATTTAGTAAGTTTATAGTAAATATCAATGACCTCTAGATAAATTTGTTTCGATGTCGTTGGTAAATATAGTAATAGCAAACATTAGACCAGTGTTTACAAGATCAAATTCGATTATCAAAATATAAGTCATTTACGGCGCAGGAAGCCGTCTCTAGTAAATAAGATTTCAATGCTTTGCGAAATGAAGAAAATGATGTTATGGATTTGATTTCAAATGGCAGGTGATTGTGCATTTGAACATATTAAACTTTTAACTAACTCTGAGCCGTGGGGTAGGTAGATAAAGATCTTGCTCCGCGTTCCTGAGTGGATAAGTGTGAAATTGCCTTTCTTGCGAAGCTGATACATGCATGATAAATGTATGTAAAGAGCCATCGTTCACGATTACGTCATCATTATTTGTCAAATATTCGATTTAGGATGTGTCTGAGATCAATTCATATTGTTTAGAAAATTTTAAGTACGTTCCTATATTATTGATTGAGCGAGTTCCGTTTTTTTTTCGGCATTTACTTATTTTTTATTCAACTCTTCATCAGTTACGATCCCTTTAATTCCAATCCTTTGGACTGTTGAAATTCCTATTCTTAAAGCATCAGCAACTCGTTATATTATTTAGAAACGCTATCCATTTGTATTTTACATAGGAATATTACAACTTTGCCTTGTACTTACTTCATATACGGCGTCCACGGGCAAGAGTGTTGTACCAGCGTCTCCTTCTGGAGAAAAATAATTTATAAGCTTAGCAGTGAGCTCTTGTTCATTTTGGCTAAATCTTTGAGGCATTTTTGAAAAAAAAACTGAATTTTGTTTTACAGCAACGATCAAATTTTCATTTTGACATTGATCGATGTCCGTCAATAAAATTATAACCCAAAATCAAACGACAATGACAATTACTAAAAAGAATATGCAGTAATTTACAAACTGCCGTAATGACGTCGCCAATCTCTTTCATCTGGTTGTCAAGTGATTGAGAGAGTTCGACAATATGACGTGACGTTGAACGATGGCTGAATATTCTATACATATAGTCTATAAAATGAATAACTTTGAATTTTGACCGTTATTTTTTACCAACATGGCAAATATAAAATCCCTCTGTTAAAAAAGTTACTGATATTCTTTAAATTGAGTGCCTGAACGAATCAGATAGGTAACTCTTTTTACTTTCCTGAAATAGAAAAGGAAAATAATAAAATAAGTGACAGTTTTTCCTCTTCATGCAAAAATCAACACGAAATGGCATAATTGTCAAAAGTAAAATGTCATCAACTTTTGACATTTCTAAATATCAGACTAAATGCCGTCTCTAATAGAACATCCCCGGGGCGAGACTTATGACGTCACGCTAGTTAGATACTACGGATTAATAAATATATGGCTGAAATCGTACTCCATAGTCGATGTAAATAGTTTTAGTGTTAAGAATAATAATTTAAAAAAATATGTGGTCATCTTTTGACAAGTTTTTTTTTTTATTCTGTGGGAAAGAGAATCTTGCATAAGACACCCAGCACTAATAACAGTAAACTACTGTCCTTATTGCCGGGTAGTGCCGGATTCTTACCGGCTAAAAAAAACCCACACTTCCCTAACGCTGATCATGGTGGAAATCGCTTCCGCATTACTTCGCCATGATAGCTGTCTGTTTACTGTCTTCTTATATCATTTTCCTTTTCCTCTAATATTTGTCTTAGTATCCCTGCAGTTAGTTTCCACATTTCCTCTGTCCCAGTGAGGTATTTCATCATATTTTCCGCATTGAAAACTGAGCCGGTATGAGTTTTATAATCATTACGAATGTAGTCCCATCTCGTACATCTAAACAGTGTATGTTCTGCGTCATCACTATTTCCACAGTAGTTGCAACTATCTGAGTCCCGTTTCTTTCTTTCCGTTAGATACTTCATAAAGCAACCATGTCCCGATAAAGCTTGCATGACAAATTAATCAGTCTCTCCGCATGGCCTGGATATCCATTGCCTAATATCAGGAATCAAATTATATGTCCATCTTCCTTTTGTTCCTCTCACCCATCTTTCCTGCCACTTGTCGAGTAGGTCCCCTCTTGCGATTTGCTTCTGTACTCCATTGTAAATTTCCTTCCTTTCCTCTATTAATAGGTCTATGGGTGGGACGCCTGCTATTACGCCTACTGCCTCTGTGGAGATTGTTCTGTAGGCACTTGCAATTCTGATGGAAGTAAGTCTTTGGATCCCCGCGAGTTTTTTTGTTCTGCTTTTATTACTCGTTACGGTGTGCCAGAATGGAGCCGCATAGAGTATTTGAGAGTGTATTACGCTACCTAATATTTTTCTTTTGGAGGATCTTGGTCCCCCAATGTTTGGCATGATGCAAGACAAGGCTGTTAGTGTTTTTCCAGATTTCTGTACAGTTCGAATTATGTGTTCCGTAAATTTTAATTTAGGGTCCAGCCATACTTGACAAGTTTATATTAGTTTATTAATTGCAGTAAACATTATGTGTTGTGTGGTGTGAATATTTTATATGTAATTTTTTGGAATATATTCGATACTATTTTTTTCATATGACACAACACTGATGAGGTTACTGAAACGAACACTGATAATGTTAGCCGAAACGCTTTTTTTTAAACCAAATAAAAATAATGAAAAACCAAATGAAAACGTAATCAGCGTTTTTTCCGAACCTAAATCCCAAGAAAATCAAAAATTTTAGAATAATTTTACATATAAAATGACAGCGATCTTTATTTCATAGTCATCGCTGACGCCTTTTTTTATGATATTGCATTTTTGGCAAATATAATTTTTCGAACATTGATACTTGCAAAATATACATATAAATTTGAATGCAAATAATAATACATCACTATTAGTAGATATCGAATGTTTTTTGTTAAATTAGATATCAAACCCCAAAATTTAAAATATATTTTACTTATTCATTATTTGTATATTGTAAAACATTTGCTGCGTTTGTATGGTTCATAGTTTATTTGCCAAAGTATTTATTACTATAAGTAAGTATATATATCGTCCCATTGCTGCCAAAAGTCACTAACTTACTTTTTATTACTTCCGAGAAAAAGGCGTCTAAAGATGAATTGCATTGCATAAAGATGTTATAGTTAGTAACTATTCGGTATTAAAATAAAACATAAATAGCCAGAAATCGTAGTTAATGACTTTTGCAATCGATTCTCCGCTTCAAAACATAGTGATTGAATTTGGTTGTTCGGAAAAATGTTAGTTAGTGACTTTTGGCAGCAATAGGACGATATATTGTATTTATTAACTGTATATTATGTATATTTCATGTAAACTATATCATTTTTAAAATGCAAACCAAAAATACGAGGAATAATTATGTTTTCCATGTATTCTACAACATATTTATTAATCCGTAGTATCTAACTAGCGTGACGTCATAAATCTCGCTCCGAGACTATTCTATTAGATTTGCATTGCGTCAGCATGGCCGCAAGTTTCTAACCTAATAAAATTAACACTAGAAAAGCCCGCGGGAACTGTCAAATTCAAAGTTATTCGTTTCACAGACTATACAATCAAGCTCGGTTATAACGATCCCAGGGATATAACGAACGCTCGGATTTAACGTAAAAAATTGTTACACGCAAACAACTATTTTTTACGTGCAAAAAACTATTTGTTACGTGAAAAAAACTATTTTGTTACAAGCAAAAAACTATTTTTTACGCGTAAAAAATAGTTTTTTCAATTTATTATTTTCAACATTTAAAACTACACTTTTTCAAACATGTCCTTCAAATCCTTCAAATTAATAGCCGAGAGTAAGAAGTTTCCCTTCAAATATGCGCACATAGCACACACACCATTTTTTTCATTTGATAAATTACCTTAAAATGGAGAATTCGGCATAGATCCCTTATAAGTTGAGGTAGGTTAACTATTCGCTCTCTGCATGCCTGGAATTGAGCGGCTACAGTAAAACATTTGGTGATGTGCAAACACACTTGAACGGCAACGTCACTCGGAATCGAAGATTTGCTTAAGACATTGACACACCGCGTATAGGCCTCTAGAAGAATCTGTTTAAACAAAATAAAAGATAAATAATTAATAGGGTGGTCGTTAAAAATTTAATTTACTAATTTTTTAAGCCCCAAAAAAATCGTTGCTTCTGACGAAAAACTACGGGGAATTGTTTTTTTTTTGTTTTAAGAGTCTATTACGCTGTACTGTTCAGATCGCTCTCAGGGGTCGGATAAAGCGGGTGTGTGGCCGAAGGAAATATATACAAGGTGGTCCGAACTGTATTCCGGAAACTTTGGCAGCATATTCTGCAGATAAAAATAAGTAAAAAAGTTCGTACAAATGTATGTCCTAAAATACTTAATTTCGGAGATACAGTAACAACTTTTTATCCGTACCTGTATAAAGCTATTAAGTAAAAAAATATACATTTACGATATTATTTACTTAAAAAATGTCTCTTGGTAAAAATCGCTACAAGTAATGGTTCTCGAGATATTTGGAATCGAAATTATCAATACCTGTTATCATTGACATAAATTAAACATGCTGACAAATAGTTATTAGACTGAAATCATAAATTTGATATGTTTTTGTGCCAAAAATTCAACAGAAACTGTTTTATCATCATTTTTTTAATTAAATTATGATTAATTTTAAAAAATTAGAAGTTACCCAGTCTATCATTTCAGTAAAATAACAATCTACTCAACATGCTTATTTTTTGTCAATAATGACATGTATTGAGTATTTCCACTCTAAATATCTTGAGAATGGTTGCTCCTAACGATTTTTACCAAGAGATTTTTTACGTAAAAAATCACGGAAATGTATATTTTCTCATTCAGTTGTTTTATACAGGTACGGACAAAAAGTTACTACTCTTAAAAACACTTAAAACACATGTAGGAAATAGGACTCATATTGACATCAAAATCAAATGTCTCATGTCAAAAAACTACCAGATACCAATTTTCAGTCTAATATTGACGTTACTTCAGAAATTATTTGAAAAAAATCGAAATAAAAATAAAATTTCTACTCCCTGTATCTCCGAAACTGAGCATTTTAGAACATACATTTATACGAACTTTTTTACTTATTTTTATCTGCACAATATGCTGCCAAAGTTTCCGGTATACAGTTCGGACCACCCTGTATATTATATTTCAAAAATATGCCCTAAAGCTTAGCCCGATCCTGTCATTAATAATTGGGTGTTAATACCCAATAATTAATAATTGGGTGTGGCTTAATAACCAATAATAATTGGGTGTTAAGACACACCCAAAATTCCAAACACACGTGCTTTGATTAAGGCTTGCCGAGCTTCAGCATTTGCCATAACATAGCAACCAAGTTGTTACAAAAGTATATAAATTATATATCACTATAATCACAAAACTTCAATCTTTCGGAATGTTAAATTATTTCTTTATATTCGAGAAAATTTAATCCAAACATAAGGTATATTTTGTTGATGTTTGACCATCAAAAAATTAAAAATAAAGAAGTTATCTCAAAATGTGCTACAATACCGACATAGTATAATCCTTTATCTTTAATTTCCTTCTTCATTTGTGTAAAAATACCTAGCCAGTTTTACATAAAACGTTAAATGCCGAACGCTTATTTTGCTACTTTATCGGACTAGTGAAACGGACTCTTAAACAATAAGAACACGTGCCGAATAATCAACAGTGAAACAAGTTTCGTCAGATAAATTCTAGTAAATGTACCTCTAGACCATTTTCTCTTCTTAATTCTTCGGCATTAAGTGCTGAACATTGGACGGTGTGGTAAGCCAATTCGGTAGCGGCCGCAAGAAGAGGCTCGGTCTTAGAAAACAGCTGATCGTCGGCAGTTTCGATTTTTATGGTCTTGATAAGTTGAGGATAGCCAGCGTATTTATACGGTTGTAACACTGTAACAAAAATTCGGTAAAGTAATAAGAATACAAAATAAATCAAAGGATTCAATTATTACCTTCGGAATACCTGTGAAACAGGATGGATTGTGTTTTCAATACTAAAACGATATTGTTTGGATTTGGACCGTCCGTGTTCCAACTTGTTCTGCTGCAGAGGAACTCGTAAGCTTGATTCACTTTTTCAAAAAGTTCCTAGATCAAAAATTAAATCAGTATTCTCTTTTCATAATTCATTGAAAAAACATTATTAAAAAATAATTAGAATATAGAATATAAAGGGTATCTCTTAAACAAGTGATGACAAAATCAATTTTTATTTCATATCAGTAAATTATAATCTAGTTCATTACTAATTCAACAAATATTCGCAATAAGCATTGCGATATGATCGAAATCGATAAAATATCAAGAGACAACTTTTAATCGGCATTAAACGGCCCAAAATAAAAAAAAGTCAGTGTCGCACATGTTTTTTCTTAGAAAAATATTCCAATGATAACCCATATATGCACGTCCCTGATGAATATGTCGACACTTTTTTAGTATTTAAATATGTAGCACTTCTAGTAACTTTTACCGTCAACATTTCATTCAAATCGCTAAAAGCACCTGGAAGAAAATTATAATAAATCGAAAAAAAAAAAAGACTTTAACCCCCTCCTGTAACTACGAAACAAAGCAGAATTGGACCAAGAGACCGAGGAATCTCCCCTCGACAGATGGCATCTGTTTTTTGAAACACCTTGTATAGAGATTTCGATTAAACCCTGATTGCGTTGCACTACTCTCAAAAATAATTACGACTGTTAAAATGATATATTAGTATGGAATATATTCCAATTCATAAACTTATTCAGCTGAATTTCAAAATAAAAAAGTGTAAAAAAAATCTATACCTATGTAGCGGATTCATCTCTCCAAAAAATTCCTTTATGTGTATTTCGTCACTGCACTCCAAGAAAATCTACAAAATAAAATATTTATTTTTGTAAACACTTCTGCGTTAAACCTAAACGGACACTGCTTGTCAGAAGTTATGTTTACAGTTATACAAATTTGCCTAACAAAGAAAAAAATAACGTAATAAATAATGGATACAATGTCATTTTAACAGAACGTCAACGGTTTCTTGTAGACGTACCTGTTTTAAAAAAGTAAAGTGTTCTCGAATAGTTGAATTTTAATATTTTAAATAGTTTTTTTTATGTTCTTTGTATTTTTTTTTGCTTCCGACGACGGAAAGAGATAAACTTTCCGAAACGTTAAGCATTTTTTCTTTGTTAGGCAAATTTGTATAACTGTAAACATAACTTCTGACAAGCAGTGTCCGTTTAGGTTTAATGCAGAAGTGTTTACAAAAAATAATTATTTTATTTTGTAGATTTTCTTGCAGTGCAGTGGCGAAATACCCAAAAAAGATTTTTTTGGAGAGAAAAAAAAGTGTGTGCGCCATAGACTTAAAATAAAATATAGACTGAGCATCTCATTCATAAATAGCTGGAACATGCGGTCAGACAATGTCTTGTTATTGTTGTGTTATTGTTTTAGGTTATAACGAGTGCGACACGAGCGATATATAGGTTGTCTCCGTCGTAACCGTCGTTCTCTGACGACTCTGACGAAGAGTGCAACACTGTCTTTCGTTTCTCAAGTACACCTGAACTCTCCGTATCATAGCCGGGTAATTTTTTTATATTTTATTAAGATTTAGGAGAGGTTTTTTTAAATAAAAGTTTAGAAAAACGTCTTAGAGTCCAAAAGGATAAAAATAATAAAATTTTAAGAAATTTTATAATCGAAATTACGTAATTTTTGAAATTATTAAAAAAATATTAATTTTAGTCAAACATATACAACCCCTAATATTAATCAATACAGGATCTATTCTACAGATATAATAGAATCGGCGACAGGGAGAGAAAAAAAAACGTTGACTGTTGTATTTTTTTTCTGGTTAAGTGATGTCTTATTATGTAAATTAGAGAAAACATAAATCTGTTCCATTAAAGCAAGGAAGGTGATAGGAAGTGGATAAAATGATAACTACATTTATTTAACTCGGTACTGTCTTTATTATACCGGGTGCGTCCCAAAAGTGGCTCATCCCCATACTTTTTTTATTTTTCCAAATAAAAAAAGAAGATTTAGTATGTCAGTATATGACATAAATTAGGATTGATTGACGCATTCGATTGTTTTTGGTGACTTCCTGTTTCACCGGAAATGACTATAACTTTTAATTAATTTTTAAATGGCACTCTCGGTATATTTCTACTTTATTCGATAGAAAATGACACTCTGAATAGAATGACATATCATATGTCAACTTTTGACATTTTTGCATATGGTTTAATTGTAATTATAACACGCGGTTCATAACGACAATTTGACTCGAAATACCAAGTGTGTGGTATCAATATATTCATAAAAAAATGCTTTTTCCAAATATGCTAATGAGTCACCCTTGTTCCATTTTAAAAAATTGACATAGGTATGATTAAAAATACGATTTGTACATCTTTTAACCGGCCTAGACAAGACACGAAATCCATTAGACGATCAAAACTATTTTTCCAAGGCTCCTTGATTAAAACTTAGTGTTTTTAAAAACACCATGGTACCCTGGATTGAAATTTAAAATACGATATGTTTTTAAGCGACAATGTCAAAAGTTGACATATGATATGTCATTCTATTCAGAGTGTCATTTTTTATCGAATAAAGTAGAAATATACAGAGGGTGCCTTTAAAAATCAAAAGATATAATCATTTCGTCAATCAATCCTAAATTATGTCATATACCTACTACCATACAAATCTGTTTTTCTATCTGAAAAAATAAACAAGTTATAGGGGTGAGCTTTTTCACTTTTGAAACAAACCCGGTATATTAAAAAATATTGTTTCATAATGTAATATCATTTTAAAATTCTTGTATGTTATTTTAGATACTGAAGATAATTTTTAGAATAAACCGGAATATATTTTTAATAAAAACATTATTAATTATTTACAGGCTTACAATAATTATGATTTTGTTACAAAAACCTTTATATAAATGATTATGTAAGAGAAAAAATTCAGATTTTACATTTTACTAAAATATTATCTAAATAAGCTCCTTTCTACAACAACGCCACTGACTCCCAATTGGTAAATTGAGAGTTGCCTACCGGTCGAAAGTCGTTTTAAGACTTAAATGGATTATTTAAGTCAAATTTCTTGCAAATTTGGCACTGGCGAACCATATTTTATAGTTCTTGAACAGAAAATAAAATCAACACTTAAGGTCTACAAGCTAAGAAAATGCGTTAATACAGCCGGGGACATAGCGGCAACAAAGCTTTGCCGCACACGTGCGACGCGTATTACAAGGTAATAAATGAATGAATAGGCTCCCTCGCCTCTAATCGGTGTTGTCATATTGTAAAGAACTTATCCTTTTTAAACAGTATCCGACTTATAATTTAGTAGTATAAGGACTATTTAATACCATCTTATGGAATATTAAAACCTACTTTATTAAACTGTAGTATTAATATCTCAATATATGTGTATAACAAGAAAAAAAATATTGATAATATTAAAGACGTGACAACATAGGCTGGATGAGGAAGGCTCGGTCGACTGTACCCAGAAGTAAACATGTGTACAAAAAAGATTGTTTGGCCGCGTTTAGATGTAAATAGTGTAGTCTATATTTTATTTTAAGTCTATGGTGTGCACTATGTGCGCATGTTTGAAGTGAAACTTCTTACTAACAGCTATTAAATTGAAGGATTATAATTAAATTATAAAGATATATATTTTTTTATAAATGCTTTTTATAAACTTCAAAAAAATTAGAGTTAATATAAAACCGTATCCTATTATAGCTTTATAATTTTATGTTTTTTTAATTTTTATTAAAAAAAACGTAATTCTATTACCCGACCGGATAGCTGTGGCCATTAAACCAAAATACTACTACATCTGTATCTCTGACTACTACCACAGATTATAAACTTATCGTCAAAAGCATTGTTTTTCGTGGTTCCAATTTTCGGAGTCGCGCACTAGTTAGGTTACTAGTTTGCGCACAAGCACGCCCACTTATGGCCTCTAAAATTGTGGACAGCGCCTGACCGGCCTTGTGACCGGCCCAGTTATTACGCTGTTTAAACGGGAGTTTATTTTTACGCACAAGAAAATTTACTCGTTTGCTCATCGTCATAAAAAGCCATTTTCGTACCACGAATTAGGAACAAGATTTTTATCTGTGTACTTATAGGATACCTAATCTGTGCTACTACTAACTGCTACTAACCAACAATTTGTTTTGTGTGTTCTGTGGTCTGTTTTTGTTTAAATGTTTTGTTCATTATTCGTGTTGGGGATTTATTTTTAAATTGATGTTAATCGTTAGGCAACCAGTAAACTCACAGAATATGTATTTCTTTTGTAAAATTGTAACTCTAAATTTTACATAACCAAATTGTCAATCTAAATCGCTGCCTTTTATAAACAGATGTCACTTGTCTCGTCATTATTCAATGCATTATTCGAATTCTCAGAATGTTGTTAACAAAAGTTTCATCTTAAAATAAAATATTAATCAATCACAACTGTATATCTCCATCAGTTACCGGATTAATAATACAGAAATTACAGGTCAATAACAAACAATTCATTATTTACAGTGATTTACAGTAATTTTATTAAATTATACGAATATTCTCGTTGATTATTTGTTTCAAATAAATATGACAGTGTCACGACCTTGAATTTATACTCCCAGCGCGCGTAAAGAAGTTTCGCTTCAAAAATGTGGTATAAACACTTGACTTACCCTTCCATTAGGATTTTTATCAGGATGATATTTTTGAGCTAATCTATAATAAGCTTTTCTAATAGTCGCTTCTTCATGATGGGTTCCCTCCAAAAACAAACTGTTATAAGCCTCCTCTACAGTCATCAGAGGAGGTTTTTTTTCCACTTCAGATTTCCAAGACTCCAGAACATCTTTTAAAAGGCCAACCTAAAATCGATTTCAATTACATTAAGATATACCTAGCAATAAAATGTATAGAACGTTCAATCATCGTTCAACGTCACGTCATATATTGTCGAACTCTCTCAATCACTTGCCAACCAGATGAAAGAGATTGGTGACGTTATTACGGTATTTCGTAAATTACTGCATATTCTTTTTAGTAATTGTGTTTGCTGTAAAACAAAATTAATTTTTTTTATTGCAAAGAAGCCTCAAAAATTTAAACAAAATGAACAAGAGCTCATTGCTAAGCTTACTAATTATTTTTCTCAAGAAAGAGACGCTGGTAGAACACTCTTGCCCCTGGACGCCGTATATGAGGTAAGTACAATGCAAAAGTGTAATATTCCTATGTAAAATACAAACCGATAGCATTTTTAAATAATATAGCGAGTTGCTGATGCTTTAAAAATAGGAATTTCAACAGTCCAAAGGATTGGAATTAAAGGGATCGTGATGAATAGTCCAAGAAAAAATGAATAAATGCCGAAAAAAGCGGAACTTGCTCAATCAATAATAGATGAATGTATTTAAAATTTTCTAAATAATATGAACTGATCTCAGACACACCCTAAAACTTATATTTGACAAATAATGATGACGTAACGATGAACGATGGCTGAACAGTCTTTATATATTGCTTACTGGATCCGGTATAGGCCAATCAGGAAACTTGACTGTATCACAAAGATGTCTAAGATAAAATATGTTACAGAAGAGTTCATGTTCCAGTTGAGGATATCTTATTGTTGGTATAGGAATATATACATATCTAGCCATAGTATGACTGCGAAGTCTTGGACTGAAGTCGGCGATGTGAGCCGCTATTCGTTCAATAAGCATACGTCTACAAACGAAGGTGTGTTAATGTACGTAAAAGACTAAAAGGGAAGAAGTTATACCTCATTTGTGAACTCCAGATAGCTTCAGGAGTGTCAAATTCGCCTAAAAATATATGGGCAAATTTTTCAGCTCCGTGATTTTCTAAGTAATTAACCATGGCCTCGGGAAGAAGCCTACCTAGGATACTCTTTTGCATTATAAGTGACGTAACATTCTGAAATAAATATAATTAATAATGGATTTCAAACAAATTACTAAACAGACAAAACATATAAGGAAAGTAGCTCATATTAGAGATGAGCAAAACTGCGATTGCGATTTTTAAATCGTAGCGACTGTAATCAGCGATTGCGATTTTAATATTTACCAAACCAAATTATTCGTAAAATTTTTTTTTTCTAAATATACCAATGAGCTACCCTCGTTCCATTTGAAAAAATTGAGATATGATTAAAAATACTATTTGGGCATCTTTTGACCGGCCAGGACAAAACACTAAAAACATCAGACGGTCAAATCTATTTTCCAGGGTTCCTTGATTAAAAATTAGTGTTTTTAACATAGCCACGATATTCTAGATTGAAATTTAAAATACGATTTCCATATCGAAAAGTTGCCATATGAGATGTCATTCTATTCAAAGTGTCATTTTATATCGAATAAAGTAAAAAAATACCGAGGATGCTATTTAAAAATTAAAAGTTGTACTTAGTAATTTCCGATGAAACAGGAAGTGGTCGAAAACAATTGAATACGCCAATCAATCCTAATTCATGTCATATACTAAGATACCAAATCTCATTTTTTTATCAGAAAAAATAAAAAAGTTATAAGGATGAACCACTCTTGAGAAACACCCGGTATATTCTTGATCGTGGTCCTAGAAAATAATACCTTCTCTATAAATAAATAATATCAGAGATAAAATTCAATCGCAGTTTACTATAAAATGCTTCAATAGACCACAAACATACATTCGCAACAATATCTCAAATCGCAACTACTAAAAATTTAAACTCGCAGATAGAAATTATGATCCCAGTTTACAAAATCACAATCGCAACAAAGTTGCAAATCGCAGCTATAGTAATACTGGTTCCCTAAAATAAAAGTCGCAGGTAGAAGAAATCGCAATCGCAGTTTTCTATGAAAGCCAATCGCAGATTGCGACTGCGATTTTAAAATCGCTGCGATTAAATCGCAGTTGGCGGTTTTTGCTCATCTCCAGCTCATATAATAAAAAACTTAAAGCAAATAAAAAATACAAGGAAAGTCCTGAAAGAAAAACTAGACTAGATATTTACTATAGGAGGTCTGTACTTACTTTGCTATAAATATCGTAATGTTTCTGGTAAAAAACTTTTTACACAAAAAAAAATATTTTTTACGTGTAAAAAATTTTTTTTGCGCAAAAAAAATTACGTGTAAAAAACTATTTGTTACATGTAAAAAACTATTTTTTACTTGTCAAAAACTATTTGTTTGTGTTAATAAATCTTTTTTACGCAGAAAAAAACTTTTTATGCATAAAAAACTATTTTTTACGCGTAAGAAAATATTCCTTTAATTTATTACTTTTTCAACATTTCAAACTACATCTTTTCCTACTTTCAAAAAACATTTCCTTCAAAATTTTGAATTTAATAGAATCTTCCTAAACAGTAGATGTTATCATAAAAATATTTTTAGATAATATATCCTAAAATTAAAAAAAATGCATACTATGTATTTAATTTATTTTTAGTGTATTATTAAATATTACGTCCGCCTATGACGGGGTCTCATAGAAAACGCTAAAGACGCTACAGAAAACAAATTGATTTGTTTTCATTTACGTTTTTTGCGAGACACGCCGAAAGCTAGACGCTTTTGGTGGGGCCACTCCTATATAATCCTGTTATTTTGTTTTAGAAGCAAAAGACGCATCACGCTAAAAACGCAAAAAACGCTTTCTGTGTGGCCGTGCACTAAGTTTTTTTTTTATTATAAGAGCTACAGCTGCCTGACACACTATTGACCCTGTATAAATATTTTACTTACTTCTTCGGCTTTAAATGCTTGTTTCATATGCGTCAGCTGCAGAAACCTGGCGATCGGCAAAACATTGCTCCCCGTATACATCAAAATGAAGTAAAACACTCCGGTAAGATACACTTTGGGCATTTCAGGATTATCTCTCATAACCTCACAAAGCAACAAAGCCACCTTCTCTACCAAGATAGGATCGAACGTAAGCAGCAACTGTACAACGTGAGATAGAGTCGTTTGTTCGCTCAGGACCCTCTTTACTTTCGGTAGCGGTCGTATGATGGCCTCGTCAGCGTCTCTGCTCGGGAAGTATTGGCACATCCTGATTAAAAGGTTTAATATATTCGCCGCTAGGTCGCTTTCGTTTAGTACTGGGTTTCCTTTAGCGAGTAAGCACCATTTTAGTTGAGGGAGTTGGGATAGAGCACGCCATCCGTCCAAACCCATCGCCCAGCAACGGGTTTTGTGTGTTATTATGCCTTTTTGGAACAGTTCTTTCATCTGGAAAAATACAATTAAGCAGGGTTGGCATGATTTAAATCATGATTTGAATCGTGATTTAAATCAAATGATTTTTTTAATTTTAATCATTGATTTAAATAAAAAAAAAATAATTTTATTAAAACTTTATTATAAATCAAAAAATAGCTTTTTTTTTAAAAGTTATAAAAATGTGTCCTAGAAAACTATAAAATATATTTCTATAAAAGATATAACAGATAATAAATCGAAAAGTAATTGTAAATGTTATAAACCTATATAAAAATATATATTCATCAATTTAAATGTTGGACTGATTTTTTAAGTAATTTCGTGTGATTCCATTAGACCGCTAAACGCAGGGATTTATTTTAAAATTTATGTATAAGTGACAAAAATTCACTGTTCAAATACATATCATTCGCAGTCTAGTGCAGAACTAGATTCTTCTGATATAGAGACTATATCTTCATTCCCGAGAATCTATAATAATCGTTGTCAGGAAATATGTTTTTTATATTTTTTTTTGAAATGGTTGTATTTTTTCAAATTCTTACCGACATTTTGATCTGCAGTAAGTATTTTACACTTTGACATTAATTTCATTCTCAACTTAAGAGTATTTCCGAACAATAGTGTATTGTTGTTTATTAGGAGTAAAAATTATACATTTTTTGATGATACTGTACCTTTGAAGGACCATCGTAAAGCTATTCCGACGTTACAAGGAGGCACAAAAAGTACATTTTTACTCCTAACAGAACATACATACTATTTTTTTAAAACATTACAAATCATTTTTAATCAATTTCAAACATTGCAAATAATATAAACAGCAATCGAGCAACAATTTGTACGCTCGTTGAATTTGACACTTAATATTTTTTTTTGTTTAATAATATATTTTTGTACTTTTGTGCTTAGGCGTAACAGTGCTTTACTTTTATACCTAGGCGTTAAAATGACAAAAATTAATACTTTTGAGACGTTTGAAAAAAAATCCTTTTGATCTGAAGCGAGCGACTTTTTTGCGAAATATATTGGTGACCGATGTGGAAAAATGACAAAACGCACCCTAGAATTATTAATGTTATCGATCGTTATCGTTGGACTGATTTTGAATCCATTTTGAATGGCTAAATCTTTATAACTCTGCCCGTTGGCAGAGTTATAAAGATTTAGCCATTTAGGATAGGACTTTAATTGGAACTAAGTCCTAGTCATTTGAAAAACCAATTTAAATATTGTTTTGAATTAAAATCAAAAAAATCTGATTTAAATCAAATAAATCTGATTTTTTTGATTTTTTTAAAAAAATCATGATTTTTTCCAACCCTGCAATTAAGCTATATTTTGATTCTACTTAAACTAAAAATAAAACTAAAATAATGGCAAAACAACTTCCGATGCACGTGATCAACTTTGAGTGACAAGCAATGGGCTGTGCTGTGAAAATGACAGCGCTGTCAGATTGTGATTGGATTTATGGGACGAATCTTAATGTAAAATTGGGAAACACTATTATACATTTTTTTAAAGATTTTTATTTTTAATTTATTAATTAATATTTTAGTAATTATTTATTTATTTTATAGCTTATTTTATTTATTACTGTCAAGGTGTATGTGGTGCCATCTGTCGGAGAAGCGAGCAACTAAAACCGCAACGTGTCAAGAAATCTGAAGACATTTTTTTGTTGTAGCGCCATCTCTTAATCAAGTCGACAAGTAAGCGAAGCAGACAATAGAATGTACTAGTAGATGGCGGACCCGTCCCGATAATTTGGGATTGTTCGCGAAACACTCACCACAGCTATATAAAAGGAGCGCTTACGACAGTTGGACAGTCTGAAGATAGTCTGAAGTCTGAAGTTTCATAATACCGCGAAATACCGTTAGAGTAATAGTAGTTGCATAAATTGTGTTGTAAATAGTATAAGTTGTGTGTACAGAGTGAGACAAATAAATTCGTTAAGTATTTTATCGTGAGTTTAAATAGTGGACCCACGGAATCCGTAACATTACATATTGGCAAAAACTAGTCCATTATGAAGATTATTCTAAGCGTTATTATGGGTTATTTATTTATTTATTGATGTACAACTTACAATACCACAAACCAAGTGGTAATAACAAGTAAGAGGGTGCCATTAATGCACAAACTAATAATCACAATATTTACTAAAACCTAACGTAGAAATATCTTTGAAAGTGGTATAATGTGCTTACCAATCAAACTTACTTCTTTGACTAGGGTAATAAAGCACCTTTATTGTCACGTCCTCGTTCAAAATAGTTTATCAGAGAAGCTACAAGCTCTTTGTCTCGACTGTTTAAATGTTTCGGCATATTTTCAAATCAGAAATTTCCAAGAAATGCAATATAAAAACTCCCAAATTTAGGTAGTACAATTTTTAAAAAACGACTATGAAAATAGGCAAAAAACGAGAATTACTTACAAAGATTCAACAATAACACGATATTATACAAAATAATGACTGACATTATAATAATTGTTAAATAAACGACAACGTTGCTGATCACGGCGCAATGTGACCAACATAGCCATAATAAAATTCGGTTTAAACTATTTTTTGCAGCTTTAATCTAAATTAAATATCTGTTACAATCATTTGCTCTTTAAAGTAAAATGAAGAGCTGCACGGTATCTTAAATTATACAACAAATTTAAACATTTTTGCCAAAACTTCATTTAATCAGGTTTATAGGCTTTAGTGTCAATTTTGATATGATTGATAACGTGCATCGGAAAATGTTTTGCGATTACTATATGCGTTTATTCCTGAAGAAAAAGTAAAGTAAATGTTGAGTTAACCTTTTTGCTGCTACTACTACCAAAAACTATTTGAGTTGAATAAAAATAGACCGAGGAATGTGGAAAGATACAACATTCCTTCATGACGGACTAACCTGGTATACAGAAGAGTCGAAGACCGCTGAAGGAACAGGAGCTGGAGTATTTGAGGAAAGACCAAGGGCAAGTTTATCCTTTTCCTTGGATAAATACTCAACCGTATTATTCCAGGCAGAAATCTTCGCCATTCTACAATGTGCGAGAGAAAACAACAGAAGAACTTACTCAGGTAAGTTCATCAATAAATGCTCAAAATGAAATGAAAGTCAGGCGGCACTTGAGGCTTTTATGAGCCCAAAGGTATCGTCGAGACTCGTCTGGGAATACCTGGGTGAACTGGGAGCCCTGGGACGAAGAAAAAACTGAAATAATTCCGTCAGGCTTCCACTGGGAAGCCTGAGATCCGCAGTCAAATGATTAACCAATTGAAGAGTTACGTTTATCGGCAATACGTGAAACAACTAGGCAATCACGGAATTCACTATATGACGCCGGCATATTCAATGAATCTGTTCACAGACTAAGCGTCGGGTGGTACTTATCAAGTATCAAATAATTAAATTAGAAAAGCAAATAAAACTTACCTCATCTAAAGTAACAGGCCCCTTTCCACCATCCTCGGTATTATAGTGCCATTCTCTTTTCTGTTCTATTTTCATATCTGGACCGGCCTCTATCACGTTCGTTTGCGTGGGAATCACCGCCCGAGCAGTATGTAAATGCGCAAGCGTCATTAAATCCACCAAAATTTTCACTCCGTTTACGTCTAGCAAATCCCTTACATTTTTTCGGTGTAATATCAACTTCGATATAAACACGATCAGTCTATCTCTTTCTATTTTATCAACGCACTAAAATGAAAGGCATCTATTTTAATTGAAGTAAATATTTAAAAAACATATACGGAAAGAAGGTTCTAAAATATCAAAAGCAGAAGATTATAATAACTGTTCTTACCCTTTCTAACATTATAATCATGTATTTTGTATCACTGAACGGACCAATATCTTCGAAATATCTTCCATACACTATTGACATCGCTTGTAGGCACATACATTTCATTTCTACTTTGTTAGTAAGTAAAAAACGATGATACAAATCATTGAAAAATTCATATCTAAAAAGTGATCAATCATAAATTGTACAGGGTGGCGCCTCTCATACGATTCAGATCGAAATGAAATTTTGGGAGCAGATGTATGTTAATTTAGCGCATTTTTCAAAAATATAGAGAGTTCTACAGGGTGTCCCCAAAAAAAAGTTACGTATTAAAGTTGTTTTTTTTTTGTAATGGAACACCCTATATATTAATTGATTTTCGGATTCTAGGAAAAAAATAAAGGTGAGTTCCATTAAAGAAGCGTATCCCTAGATTGTAAGGTTTTTGACGTATTTCACATTTGAAAATGAAGAATACCCCCCCCCCCCCTTTTAAATTTCAATAACAACTACCTAAAGTGTAATTTATCCTGTCATAAATCTTTAAAATACTATTAAGGTTGACATTCTACAAAGATTTTTCTAGATATTTTCATTTTTATGATTTTGCATCAGTAGATCTTTATTAATTAATAAAATCTAGGTGGTTGTGATATACCATTCGTTAATTTAATAAAAATTAAAAGATGTAGACTAAAATATTCAACGGTAATAAAAAGATTTTTAAGGTAAGACACGTTTAAAACATATTTTAATTATTACAGAATTAAGAATAACTAGTTATACACGTATTATAATTATGTAATAAAGATTAGCTAGATGAAATCAACTGCTCAAAAGATTTCCTTTACTCTTCACTGCATAAAATGATGTCGACAATAATTGGTCAAGTTTTTTAAACACTGTCTATAATACGTCTCTATAAAAAAGTCCATAATAGATAAATCTAAATGCTCCTGATTTAGCATAGACGACTAGTTGTTAAAGGTAAACTAATTTGACAGCTATTATGAACTAACGACAACTCACAGCCACCTAGATTTTATCAAATAATAAATGCCTACTGACACTGAACCATAAAAATGAAAATATCTATGAAAATCTTTGTTTGAGGGGTAGGCAACCTTTATAGTATTTTGAAGAGACATGAATTCCCCGTTGAATATCGGAATAATATACTGGATATTCTATTTAAAATAAAAGAGTAACTTACTTTTAAAGGTGACCAATGTTCAATATTAACTTTGTCTCGCCCTGTATAACTTTTTGGGTCAAATTTTAGTTTGATTTAAAGAACAATAGTTATTTTAATTAAATATTAGGCTATACTAGGTAAATTCCAATTTAGGTAGTTTTTATTGCAATTTAAAATTTGTTCTGCATTTTTAGAAAACGTTCGTTAAATATGTCAAAAACCATACGTCTTAGTCATACCGTGCTGGCAACTGTTACTTTTGGGTCGGTACTTACATGTGTGGAAGTAAATCGCATAGGGATCACATTAAGTCGGAGTGAGAGAAATGCGAAGGTGTGCTGTTGCGGCGTTGCCGGTACGCCTGTTCCTATCAGGTAAAGTAAAATCACGATCGTAAACCGCTTATTTTTAAACGAGTTTTTTTTTCGAAAAGATAACTAGATAAAATCATTAGATATGTTTCTGGGCATCTGAAATTGAATTATAAGGATATCGTTAGGGTGTCCGTTTTTTTTTAAACGATAAAACTTCAGTAATCGCGGTAATTTAAAAACTCAACTTTTTAACACATAACACGCCATAACTTAAAAACTACTTTAGATATTGACACTTTTTTTTATTTTGAAGATCGGATCTTTTACAATATGTTTAAATAAGAAAAAATCGATAAGGTTGTTTTTTCCATTCAAAAATTTTAAACAACCCATCGATTTACTTTTAGTGCATAGCAATTTTCAGCAATCGTGTAACTTTTTTATTTATAAGAATTTTCACATACTGTCTACGAAGAAAATATAGCAGAAATATTAAGAAAGTTTATGAAAAAAACTAAAATCAGTTATTTCTAATGGATTTCGAGATATCGATTTTTGAATTCAGAGTTCTAATAGCGCGACCACTGTCGAACACCAACTCAATTCCACTTATTTTTACCAAAAATGTAAGTGTTTCTAACTTGCACTTAAACATTTTCAAACTATAGGAAAAATTACGACTCGTTAATAAATATACAAATAAAGTATCGCGAGACGTAATTAAATCGTGAAGCTGATGTACACCTTTCCCTAGAACTTTAAGTACTGACAGAGGTACTGATTGGGTCGACCGGTGGACTGCGACAAATCTGCTATATCCCCTTCCACGTCTCTTAGCAATGTGCGCAGTTTCTCGGTTCATTTCGTATATTTGACAACGTGTTTACTGTTCTCTTTCTTCAGTACATTATAAAACGCATTGTACTCTTCTTACATACGGAAATCTCGACCCAAGACTAACCTTTGCCAGCCATTAGTATACTTGTCTAATGAAATTCATCATTATTTTTCTGCTAGAATCCGAAAATCAATTAATATATAGGGTATTATAAAAAACACAACATTGATGTGCAACTTTTTTGGGAGACACACTGAGGCCTATTTTCTTGGACTATGTAGTCGCCTTTATTATACTGCAGTAAGGCACTTTCTCGTATAAGTATTATTGTATCTATACTCACGATTTTCTAATTGGCGAATCGTCATTGCTCTCATCCATCTCCAACAACAACCTCAAATAATAATCCCCTATTTTAACTTCATCAGCCAAACACTGGTAGCTCAGCTCAAACTCCTGATGGTTCCACGCCACCAGCGCGTTCCCCGCCAACTCCCTGTCGTTCGAGAACGTCCGGATCTCGTTCTCTAAGGCACTTCTCAGCTCTTCCCTCGTCTTGTGGTTCCAGATCAAGTTCGAGAGCGCATGGTTCTGGCTAAAGTTCCAGTAGAACAGCGCCCAGTTGCTCTCGGCCTTGACTCTTTCCCGTCTCTTTCTTAAAACTATCGGCCGTTCTTTTATTTTCTCCTCGCGTTTCAGGCTGACCATCCCAACCCGGGAGCCCCAGTGTTGCAGGGCCAGGTTGGTGTAGTGTTCCACCTGTTTTTCTAGGTTCTTGATCTGTCTCTCGACGGCGACCAGGTTCGGGTTGCGTTTCGTTTTGGACGCGTGGTCTTGGGCCATTTTTAAGTTGTCGCGGTGGTTTAGGAGCTCTTGCTCTTTGGCGGAGTCGGGGATTTTGTCTTGGGAGTCGAGGAAGCTTATGAGACCGATGGGCTGCAAAAAAATGTACAATTGTATAAAAATCGGCACCCAAAGCTGGACTTGCTGACCCTGTATACATACAGAAATAACCAATATACGGTAATCACAAAACATTTTCCGATGCACGTCATCAATCATATCGAAATTGACACTACAGCTTATAAACCTGACTAAATGAAATTTTGAAAAAAATGTTTAAATTTGTTGTATAATTTAAGATACCGAACAGCTCTTCATTTTACTTTATAGAGCAAATGATTGTAACAGATATTTTATTTAGTTTAAAGCTGCAAGAATTAGTTTAAACCGAAATTTATTATCGCTAGTTGGTCACATTGAGCCACGTTCAGCAACGTTGTCGTTTATTATTTCACAATTATGATAATTTCAGTCATTATTTTGTATAATATCGTGTTGTTTTTGAATCTTTATGAGTAATTTTCGTTTTTTGCCTATTTTCATAGTATTTTTATTAAAATTGTACCTTTAAGCACAAAGAGTTCTTTTAAGAACTATTTTCAAGTTTTTGTATTGCATTTCTTGAAGTTGTATGTTGAAAATATGCCGAAGCATTTAAAGAGTCGAAGCAAAGAGCTTGTAGCTTCCCTGATAAACTATTTTGAACGAGAACGTGACAATAAAGGTCCTTTATTACCTTTAACTGCAGTCAGAGAAGTAAGTTTGATTGATAAGCACATTACAGCACTTTCAAAGTTATTTCTACGTTAGTTTTTAGTAAATTCTGTTATTATTAGTTTGTGCATTAAGAGTACCCTCTTACTTGTTATTACCACTTGTGGTGTTGTAAGATGTACATCAATAAATAAATAACCCATAATAACGCTTAGAATATTCTAATCATTTCATAATGGACTAGTTTTTGCCAATATGTAATAAGTAAAATAAGCTATAAAACAAATAAATCAATTAATTACTAAAATATTAACAATAAAACTAAAAAATAATAAAATTAAAAATAAAACGTAAAAATCCTTAAAAATGATATAATAAATATATTGTTTCTCAATTTTACATTAAGATTCATCTCATAAATTCATCACAATCTGGCAGCGCTGTCGCCATCGCTTGTCACTCAAAGCTGATGACGTGTATCGGAAATTGTTTTGCGATTACCGTAGTATTAAAGTTCTTATAAACCTAAATAAACAAGCCTTCATAAAAAAATGCAAGGAAATATCAAGTTAATATAAGTTATAATTGCCAACAAACTAAAACAGAAGTAATCCTAATATGTAATCCGAACAATGTGGTATTAATGGTAATGAGCCGGTTATCAAAAAAAGAGACAGACACAGAATCTGTCTGTGAAGAATTGGCTTTAAGGAATTAAGCTTGATTTTCATGCATCCGTTGTCCGACGATACGTTGATACGATATTAATTTTATTGGTTGAATTTAAAGACTTCGATTGGTTAACGGTTTCTAACCAATCGAAGCCTTTAAATACAACCAATAAAATTAATATCGTATCAACGTATCGTCGGACAACGGATGCATGAAAATCAAGCTTTCCTCAATGAGTAATGATACAAAGCTATAGTAAAGAACAACAAAAACATATTCATATAGAAAAATCAACAAAATTAACCGTGATATAAGTTATCTTACCATGATTCTCTTAAGAAGTCCCATTGCTATGGGATTCCCGGTCACCCACAGACCAATCAGATGTCTGGACAGTTGTCGGTGCGTCAACAACCTGCCGTCGGAGCCTTGAGTGTACAGAGCCGCTAACAGATGGCGCGGTAAGGCTCCTTCGGCCAGAGACAGGTTTTGCATCTTTACAGCTACTTCCGATTCGCCTTCTTCTATTAACGCTCTCATTACTAAACCGGCACCTTTAATAATGGCCATAGATGGATGCTAAAAGTAAAAAATAGTTTTATTTCCGTAGTATGAAAAATTGGTCAAGTGCGAGTCGGACTCGCGCAGGAAGGGTAAAGGTTCCGTACCATTCATTATCTATACAACATTAGACACTATATTATTATAAACTTTTTTTCCGATTTAGCTGAAATTTTGAATGCGCGTATAAGTAATTTAAAAAAAATGAAGAAACACATTACTAAAATTGTATTAATCAATAATAAATATGTAAAAAGTAAAAATAAATATGTAAAAATATGTCAAAATTAAAAAAAAACGTTTAAAAAAAATCGCCTTCACTAGGATTCGAACCTGCCTTACTACGGCTCCAACGTCATAGCAGCGTAAAGTCCTAACGCTTTAACCACGCGGCCACCGAGCACTTGAAAGATTCTATGTAAAATTCTTACTTAAAAGATAATGTTTAGTGAAAGTACTTTTTTATTTATAAACATTTATTTAATTCTGTTTTTAGTATTTGTTCTTATAGCGGCAACATAGATAACATCTCTAAAAATGTCAACTGTCTAGCTATTACAGTTCATAAGATAGACCTTTGTGACAGACGGACGGATGGACGGTCAGCGAAGTCTTAGTAATAGGGTTCCCGTTTTTACGCTTTACGGAACCCTAAAAACGAACACTTTCAAATTTTGATGCGTTTTAAAGTTTTATATATTATTGTGTTCTAGTGGACCGATTTTTACGATTTTTTAAGTATCTTGTAGCGATTTAAGTATCTTTTACGATTTTTTAAGTATATTGTAAATTATTTGACTTTTTAGTATACCGGGTGCGTCTCAAAAGTGGCTCACCCCTATAACTTTTTTTATTTTTTCAGATAAAAAAACTAGACTTGGTATGTTAGTATATGACGTAAATTAGGATTGATTGACGTATTCAATTGTTTTTGGTCACTTCCTGTTTCACCGGAAATGACTACAACTTTTGATTTTTAAATAGCACCCTCGGTATTTTTTAACTTTATTCGACAGAAAATGACATTCTGAATAGAATGACGAATAATATGTCAATTTTTGACATTTTCGCTTAAAACAAAATCGTATTTTAAAATTTAATCTAGAGTGCCATGGTTATGTTAAAAACACTAATTCTTAATCAAGGAGCCTTAGAAAAATAGATTTGATCGTGTAATGTTTTTAGTGTCTTGTCTTGGCCAGTTAGAAAATGCTCAAATCGTATTTTAAATCATATCTCAATTTTTTCAAATGGAACGAGGGTGGCTCATTAGCATATTTAGAAAAAGAATTTTTTTATGAATAATTTGATACCACATACTTGGTATTTGGAGTCAAATTTTCGTTACGAACCGCCAGTTATAATTTCAAATAAACCATATGCGAAAATGTCAAAAGTTGACATATGATATGTCATTCTATTCAGAGTGTTATTTTCTATCAAATAAGGTAAAAAAAATACCGAGAGTGCCATTTAAAAATCAAAAGTTGTAGTCATTTCCGGTGAAACAGGAAGTGACCGAAAACAATTGAATACGTCAATCAATCCTAATTTGATTATATTAATTAAAACAATCTTACTTGAAAGAGTCTAAAAAGCATTCGCCCTCTTTCGGCAACCATTTCCAGCAACAAGTCAAAGTGTTTTCCGTCGGTGGTCTCGCTATATGGTACGCATAACGCAAAAGTGAGAAAATCTAGCATTGCTGATACTACTAGAGCGCCAGTACCTTGAGCCTGAAACATAATAAATTCGTTGAAAATTGTGGGCAAATGTATAAATTTTACACAATATAATGATTAACTTACAATGTGAGTTGTCCACATGTTCAACAGGCTTTCCAAAAACGATTTGGTCTGTAACAAGGATGATTTATTCAACTGTTCTTGTCTCAGGTCATAATCGTCATGCATGGGATGCATCAGAGCGCAGATCATATCGATAGCGGCATGCGTCACTCCAAAATCGTTCCTTTTTAGTGCTTTAACCACTTTCATCCCTACAGCTTCCCTAAATCTACATATAATAATAATGAGTATAAAAATTTTCACAATTTCTGAATTTTCTGAATAGAATATTACTATAATTTATCATAAAAATTACAAAATATTTAAAGCTAAAAAACTTAGATTTCTTTTATCTAGTTATCTTTTTTGAAAAAAAGGTCTTAAAAATAAACGGTTTGCTATCGTGATTTTACTTTACTTGATAGGGAAAGGCGTACCGGAGAAATGTGGCAAGGCCGCAATTGCACATCGTTGCATTTCTCTCACTCCGACTTAATAAGATGAAGAGAGAACCCTATGCGATTTACTTCTACACATGTAAATACCGACCGAAAAATAAAAGAGATGCCAGCATGGTATGACAAATAAAAAAAATTGTATTAAAAATTGTGTGCAACCCACCCTGTATTATTAATTCTCTACAGTATGTCCCCGGATTGTCTTTAAAAGAGGAAAAAATAAACTTTTTTATTATTGGCATTTTGAGAAAAATTAATTCTTCATAAAATTTTTTGCTTGTTCTAGAATGGTTAATCCCGTTTATACTTTTCCAAATTTCTATACCGTTTAAGAGAAAAATAAGAGTCCTAAAAAGTCCTAAAACTCAAAACGCGTTTATATGGTTACTAGCGTGTACCAGCGACTTCGTTCGCGTCGAATTAATCATTTGTAATGGTGATGATAAAGCAAAGCAAGAATTCCCATTAACATACAAACTGGATAAAATTGTCTCACATTTATGTCAGCATGAGAAAAAACAATATGGCGATATTATTATATAACTTGGTATATATATTCGAGGGGTAGTTTCATTTCGTTGGAATTTGACTTTCGAAAAATCCGTTTACCAAAAATAAGCTTTTTACGTCAAGCAGTTTAAGCAGAATCGTGGTTAAGAAATTACCCAACTTTTTTTCAAAAAATTTCACAATATGTAAAAAAAAAACAAATAAATCATGCTTGTCCAAGCGTTTTCCCGAAAGACTAACCGTTTTTTAAATAACAAATATTGTAATATTTGAGGAGCGTTTTCACCCTCTTGGAATTTGAGATTCGAGAAACCCCTCCTTATGGAACCTCTAAACCCTACAGTCAATCCGTTTGCCAAAAATCAGCTTTAAACGTCAAGCAGTTTAAGCAGAATCGTGATTACTCAATGGTCATATTTTATGAAACACCCTGTATAAATTTATAAAAAATCTTAAAATATGTAAAACAACAAAATAAAGTATACGTGTTTAAGAGTTTTTCCGAAAGACTCACCGGTTTTTAAATAAAAAATATTTTAATATTTTAGGGATAGTTTCACCCAGGGGGGTGACAGTAAACCGGAAAATTGGAAACAGTTGTGGCGCGGTTCTACCCAGGCAGAAAGCATGGCCTTCTAGACTGTCCTAGACAAAAATCTGAATATTTCTATATTTCTGTCAATCTCTGCTACGGAACATTTTTATGCACGTCGGCGTCCTGTTCTTTTGTCTTTTGTCTGTGTGTCAGCGTCAGCTCCCGAGTCCTCTGGCAAGGTCGGGCGCCATTTTAATTTTTGCTGTTTAGATTTGATTGGAAGTTTGTTTCTGATATTTCGGCTGAAATTTATAAGTACAAAGATGTTTTTTAATATAAAGTTCCTTGTTAACACTTTAATAAAGTATATATGATATTAATTACATGAAGAAAATGATGAAATCGACGTTTCTGCGTGTAGTAGGTATGGGCCATATTATATATATAAATAGGTAATATATTAACTGTTTTTATATTTTTTAGCTTTAAACCCAAGGATTTTGGGATATTCTTTGCCAAGGATTTTTCCGTATCTCTACTTTAAAGACTGATCGGTGATTTTGAGCAATTGAAAGCAAGTTATACAAGGTAAATTATGATTATTGAACTATTATTAGCCTACATTAATTTTCTACAAGATGAACAGAAATGCGTAATTACATATCACATTATTGCTATTATCTATTTTCATAGCAATAATGCTATAAATCTATGTATGTAGATTATTTTTAAAATACAAATGAGGTATTAGATGTATATGTATCATATTTTTTATTCATTTTATTTTCATTCAAGTCCTGTTTGATTTAATTCACAAAAGTCTTATGTACCTATATTTATGTTTTTTACATATTTTTTTTGATTCCAGGTTTTGTGTGGGTTCCGGTTGCCTTTTTCCTGCTTCCAGTTATTTATCCGTGAAGCTGTGAAAACATTTATTTATCTTCAAGTTTCTGTAAGTCAATGCACTGTTACTTTACTAATTCGCTTTAACACAGCATCTCTGATATTATTTAAATATTTAATATTGATACAGTAGTTTATTGGTTTATAGCTCTTTAATTGTGTTGATTTGCATATTTACATTGTTCTAAATTCCAAATAAATATTTTTGAGTAATTTTGTTGTATTATTTACTACTAGAAAGAGTAAAAAGTATATTAACCCTCATTTAAACCTCCTGAACAGCCCGCCATTAAAAACCGGAAACGGAAATAAATTTCATAAAATTGTCATGTCTATGTCATGTCAAATGTCCCAGCCGCCATACCTGAAAATTAGTTACCCAGACAGCCACGCTGTTTCCATAATTTAACATTGACTTGACACTTCTTGTATTTATTATTTTATGGTTTCACCCAAAGACATCTAAATATAGGTAGACAGAACACTCCATTCATAAAACTCAATTTTTTAGAATCATACATGGTTTGGCACTTTTATGAGAGTTAAAAAGAGATGGGTACATAAATATGACAACACGGTTGAGTTTCGTCTGTCTTTCTGTCATTTTACTCCATCAGTGGCGTGACGGTGGTGTGGTGTTTTTTTATCAAAAATTTTAAAATAGTTATTTTGTGTATTTTAATTTAAATTTTAATTTGTAATATACGTAGTAATATCGATAATATACAATGTAGGGGCGTTTGCACCAAGTTTTTTAAGCAAAACTTAACACTATGTTTAGCTTATTTTCTTGCACTATGCTTTAATCTAACTTGAATTTATATTTAAATTAAGCGGTCAAATTTCCAGGCTAGTGGTCACTTAACCTATCTTAGACACAAAAATATTGTTTTACGAGGAAGAATTATTGTTATTCCTTTGAGAAAGCTAAAAAATGTATTATGATACCTCTACGTAAGTTCGATGATTACTTTTGATATCCTAGACGTCGATCAGTAGGTATATTCATTGAAAATGGATTTCCTCAAGAATGGATGTAAGGAAAAATCATATTGCCAAGAAATGAACCTCCTTAAGTTTTTAGGACAGAGACTTTTAAACGACACTGTAATATATATCATTATTAATTACCTCGGTTTAATTGAACAAAATCTAGAATATCAAAATGAGAGGTAAGTTGGAATGCTAGTAAATCTAATGTAAGATAAATTAATTATATTTATACTTTGAACCATTGTTCTTTACTATTTCCAGAAACAACAGCATAACTGCCTTAAATCAACAACAATTTTATAGTATATTTGGGTTTCCTGGGATTATAGGGATAGTTGATGGAACACAATGTAAGAAAACATTCACCTGGTAAGTACCTATATATTTTCTTCAATATTTATCAGCACAAGGTTTCTTATACTTTACAGGGGGTATTGATGGAGAGGTATTTAGAAATAGAAAAGCATTATTTTCCCCAACATTTAAATTACTGGAAATGCTAGTCTTAAAACTATAGACTTGATTGCTTGTTGGCATGGGTCTGTGCATGAAGCCACCATTTTTGGAAATTAAGGACCCGCTTGGAGACTGGTGACTTTTCAAATTAAATCCTGCTTGGTTAGTGGTCCGTATATTTACTTACTGTTAGATCATTTATATAAAATATATTCCTTAAATATTTGAGTAGGTATTCAATTTTAAATATTTTACGAATAAGATGAATTGAAAGAAATTTTTTAAAATTAAATGTGAAAATATTCAAAGGGTTCATATACTCTATTAAATTATTTTATTATCTGTTATAAGGTGAGATTGCATATGCATTGAGGGGATATATGCAGAAATAGAGCTGAAGAAATGTTTCAGAATTATCGTTATATGGAAACGCCACTTTCCAATATGTGTTTTATGGTATAAGACCAAAATTACAAAACACAATGTCAGTTATTATTGCACAACAGTGAGTTAAGAAAAATATTATCTGTTTAATTATAGAACAAAAATTTAAAAAATTTAATGTATGTACTTAAATTTTTTAGATTTTTGTTGTTTCAATGCGCTACACAATACAGCCAGAATGATGCCTGAACAAGAGCTGCCGCCGTTAGATGAAATAAATATGGACCAAATTAATAAGAAGAGAAATAATAAATTAGTTTGAAAGATTAGGGCAATATTTTTTTTTAACTTATTCTAAACATGTTTTTATGTTGTTATTAAATCTCTTGAGTATTAATTTCTATAAAATATCATTATTAAATGTCTTTTATTCAGAAATAACATATATTACATTTTTTACATGACAATATAAACACTAATTAAAATTATTAAATAAGTTCTCTTTGAGAACTTTACTGTTCTTTTTTTATTTCAATGTCTAACAACCCTTTTTTTCTTTAGCTTATGTTCTTCTCTGTTTTGAATACTACTACTTTGAATTTTGCCCATCTCCATATTACAAAAGAACAGCCTTTTGTCTAGTAAATTAGTATCATCCCTTTTCTTCTGTTTCTTTGTAACCATCAGTTTTGTTTTGAGACTGAAAAAATATCTAAATATATTGAATTCTCTTCAAAGTAATAAAAAATTCAAAAACACAATGAAAGGTTAGTACTTACAATACCAGTACTCCTATTAGTTTTAGACAATCTATCACCATCATGTTTTTTAATCCCACAATGCTCTTCTCATTTTTACATTGATTGAATATATTATTATCTTCCGTTTTTGCTTTTTGTATACGTGGACCTCCACCAGTTAGTCAAAATATATTTTAATAATTGATTTTCTTTTACATAGTATTTATACATACGTTGTAAGCTTTCC